ACCAATAGGCCTAATTACCACAGTTCCATATCACATTGAAATTAACAGTATGGGCAACGGGCAAGGTAAAAACATTAGGAGCGAGCCGGTGTAGTGGTAGTGCAGGATTTAGGTCTCGGAGGTCCCCGGTTCTAATTCCATCAATCGCCAATGGTTTTTATCGAAGTGACAATACAGCTACTTCCAGGCCAAGCCTAAAGTAATGTGAAAATACTCTTGGAATAAAGTCTAGTTAAAATAAACGGTATTCACAATCTGACACATACTATCTCCCATTAGCTTGTCAACAACCTGCATCATGGGTGGGAGTAAGTTGTATGATATTTTATAGGAAAAATCACAATGGTTGTAATAACTTTTTAACATATTTTTTACAGCAATGGCGGGAGGGTTGCAATATGTTATTTGGAATTATTAGGACTATAACGTACTATCAAAACCAGCTTTTTCTTAAATATTCAAATTTTTTGTTATTTTATGGGGGTTTTATGGGGAAATTACATAAGTTCCAATAACTTTTGAACTGTAATTTCTACAGCAACGGGAGTCGTTCAATTTTGTTCAGAATTCAAGGACTATAACATAGGCCTGCCAAGTTTCTATCAAAATTGTGTTGGCTGATAGAAATTTGGATTTTTCCGTTATTTTATGGGTTTTATAGAAAAATTGCCATTAAAAGTCTAAATTAAAAAAAAAATCTAAAACTCTGGAGATATGGATTAGCACACTGAATTTAATCAAAATCAGACTATAGTATAGGTGAGAAATAGGCGGAAAAGGTGTAGGGAAACATGTAGTGTTTACTCCGATAAATATGACTGAGAATTGAATTTTAAGTCATTTAGGGTTTATAGTTAATCCGTGTGGTCTGTAGCTCTCTGTACACATCCACACATACAGACAGACACACACACATGGACCGACATCACTTCAAAAACCACTTTTTTGGATTCAGGGGTCCCAAAACAGATATATCCACTCAAAACTCAAACTTCAAAATTTTGACGTGAACAATACTTTCTCCATATAGCCTACTATGTATAGGGAGAGAAATTAAAAATGTAAATATATTTAAGTAAATGTCTTAAAATGCTAGGGAGAATCATAAAATCATACTTTTGGTACTTGTTGAAATTTATATTTAGCTAGACGTAGGCTATACTATAAATTATATTATAAATTATATTTGTACCCATAATTTTAAACATTCTACTTCAGAATAAAATTGGTTGAAAAAAAATATTTATCATACTCTTTACCAACTAGGCAATAAAGTTAATCCATTTTACAGAAGTCATGTGAAAAATTCATTTAATAAGAGAAACTTGTTCAATGAAGTATTTATTCAAGCATTTAAAACTGTTTTGATTTGACCTCTTGTCCACCTGTGATGTGATTTCCACCCAATATTCAAACTTTGTGTTGACTCAACGGCCAATATCTTGTTGACTCTTACTATCAAAACATCTCTCGACAACACCTAGAGACCAATATCACTACGTATCTCAGCCAGTGTTTACAATTGTACTGATAGCCTGAATTTTGTTAGATAATTTCATTGTTTTAAGTGCAGTACCGAAGAAATTAATTACTAATTGTATGAAAACATAACTGGCACTAACTTTGAAAACAACTTTTAACTGTCAAGGTTTTAAAATTTAGCCTAAGAAAGTGAAAGTGTCACTTTGTTTTTACCAGTCATTTTTTACTGGTTAGCAATTTATTGACAATAATCTAAATGACAGAAACAAACTGGAATAATCCCAAGCACACAAACATCTAGTAGTGATTCTATGGTTTAATTTATTGTCTGACTAAAGTTGAATTAGGTATTGATTCTAGCTGCTGTATTCATGATTTAAGGTGTGAAAAATCTAAGGAATACCTATTCTTACACTCAAACATTCTTAAGTTAGGCCCTAACCAACAGTTAAATATGCCTCATAGATTCATATTTAAAATCAAAATTAAATCTTAAACGTTGGAAAAAAAAGTTTCTTACAGCACATGGATGTATATTGTATTTATTATGACCCATTGTAATTGATGTGTCATATTCATTACTAAACAATGAAAGCAGTGTAGCAGAGGCATTTACTGCTAAACATCAAGTCCTAGTACTGTAGTTTGGAATTATAAGTGAGCTCAATACCCTGAGGAGTTGAACTGATGTAGCAAGTTATCAGAAGTAGAGAGAGATTACATTAGTGGCACACCTCCTGCTCTCATGGTCTAATAACCATAGACCAATGATGTTTTTAGTGTTTGATGATAATTACACAACATCTCAGTGACAGTACAGTAGTAGGACACTAATTGTAACTAGTACACTGGGGAGTTGACGTGATGTAGCGAGTTATCAGAAGTTGAGAGAGATTACATTAGTGGCACACCTCCTGCTCTCATGGTTTAATGGAGTGTTTGATGATAATTACACAACATCTCAGTGACAGTACAGTAGTGGGACACTAATTGTAACTAGTACACTGGGGAGTTGACGTGATGTAGCGAGTAATCAGAAGTTGAGAGAGATTACATTAGTGGCACACCTCCTGCTCTCATGGTCTAATGGAGTGTTTGATGATAATTACACAACATCTCAGTGACAGTACAGTAGTAGGACACTAAATGTCACCAATACACTGGGGAGTTGAAGTGATGTAGCGAGTTATCAGAAGTTGAGAGAGATTACATTAGTGGCACACCTCCTGCTCTCATGGTCTAATAACCATAGACCAATGATGTTTTTAGTGTTTGATGATAATTACACAACATCTCAGTGACAGTACAGTAGTAGGACACTAATTGTAACTAGTACACTGGGGAGTTGAAGTGATGTAGCGAGTTATCAGAAGTTGAGAGAGATTACATTAGTGGCACACCTCCTGCTCTCATGGTCTAATGGAGTGTTTGATGATAATTACACAACATCTCAGTGACAGTACAGTAGTAGGACACTAAATGTAACTAGTACACTGGGGAGTTGAAGTGATGTAGCGAGTTATCAGAAGTTGAGAGAGATTACATTAGTGGCACACCTCCTGCTCTCATGGTTTAATGGAGTGTTTGATGATAATTACACAACATCTCAGTGACAGTACAGTAGTAGGACACTAATTGTAACTAGTACACTGGGGAGTTGACGTGATGTAGCGAGTTATCAGAAGTTGAGAGAGATTACATTAGTGGCACACCTCCTGCTCTCATGGTCTAATGGAGTGTTTGATGATAATTACACAACATCTCAGTGACAGTACAGTAGTAGGACACTAAATGTCACCAATACACTGGGGAGTTGAAGTGATGTAGCGAGTTATCAGAAGTTGAGAGAGATTACATTAGTGGCACACCTCCTGCTCTCATGGCCTAGAGTGTTTGAAGATTTCACAGCATATTCTCCAATAAATTAAACGTAACAATAAGTAACTTAAACCCTCCCTTAAACCTTTAGAATTGGTTTAATTATTTTCATGTACAATTGAATATTCAAATCAATAAAAAACACGCCTAAAATATGAAACATAATCCGTTTTGTATGGAAATAGTTTAGTTGTTATTTCCATCCAAGTGTGAATGTATCTCTAAAACTTGTGAGTATGTTTAGTATTACATATTACAAAGTTTATAAACGTCTCTAGAAAGCTAGATTCCCTTGATAGAAAATTTACTTTTTAAATCCCTTTGATTTAATATTTCACTTAGGTAAAGTTGTTTACCAAACGAGTCTTGTCTTGTTGTTTAGGTACCGGTTTAAACAATAGGCAATCATCTTAACACTTAATAATTTATATTTTTGTCATGATTGCCTTGGGGTATTGTTTATTTATTATTTGTTTTGTATGCAAAGAAACTTTGGTAAACTTAGTTTCAAGACTAGATTTTTATTTTTGAGGTCCTCGGGAGGTTGATGGTTCAAAGTGATTTTTTATCAAATAATTTCTTTTGTACTGGCTTAGGTGATGTTTTAATATGTCAGAGTCACTCGCGTTAGATTAGATTAAATCTATACAACAGGAAGTTAAGTTTAAGACAGACAAGTTATGAATGGTATGATAGATTTGTCAATAACTTCAGCTAGCTCTTTAGTCAGTACTATTTATTAATACCCAGCCGCAGCTAACCTGCAGATATAGCGAATTTCTATTTGACTGATTAGATATTTACAAAATAATCTGCTTTAACATGTCGGATTTATTTTTATTTAAATAACATTAGGTTTAAAGAGTAGACGTTTCTTCAAGTAAGGAGATGACAGTTTTTAAGTAAAATGTTAATAGTATATAGTATGAAATAAATTAATTTGGCAAATTGAATAAAAATATACAGATAAACAAGCAAACTACAGCTTTTCATTTTTTCTCTCCTTAATAACATAACAATTTTAAATGTACAGGTTTTTTGGAATTTTTTCCATAACCTTACTTTTTAAATGAACGCTTCAATACAATTAAAAAAAATAAAATTACAATTCAAATAAAAATAAAAAAAAAACACCCTGTTCCCATCACCCGATTTTGCTGGTTCTTAAACTCAATCAAGTTTATCCAGCCTTATGCATTCATGCAAAATTTCATCAAAATTGGGCCAAAATTACTCTGAGAGTTATTGTATTTACAGAAATATTTCTATAAATATTTTAGTGTTTTGGCCCCTGGGGACATTGGAATTTTAAAAATAAATCGGTCCAACCACGAGTCCTGCAGTAAAAGCTGATATTCTATAAAGGAAGTTCACTAAAGCATATAAAAAAAATTCAGCTGGGTCCAGTTTCCATGCTTCTGACTTTTATCAGCATTTCTGGTATGTCTTGGTTGGTTGTTAGACACTACATTGAGGGTTGCTGCACAGATGTAAAGTGATGTTATTTGGAGAATTTTCTACTCTTAGAAATCATGTACCTAACTTTTCTGGTGATCGCAGTCCTGCTAGACAAGTTACAATGGACGGAAATATGAGTAGTAATTATTCCAGTTTTATAAATTCAGTAATTTTGTTTCCAGATATTCCAGACATCCCTGAGAATATCAAGAACCTCCGCTCCCTACAGGTGGCAGACTTCAGCAGCAATCCCATCCATAGGTTTGTATAATTTTTACCATACTATTGTTAAGAGAAATATCAAATTATTGGAAGCATAATACGGTTAAGACAATAGATGATTGCTCTGTGATCAAACGTAGGGTCCAACGGTAGTCTACAATATTACAATGTGAAACTGTACTAACGTATAATAATAGTAAATTGTGAAATCTCTTCAATTGTAGAAAGTGAAAATAATGTAAATGGGTTTAGTTTGATTACCTATGACCGGTTATCAATGTAACTATAGTTTTAAGTCATTATTTCCCATAGTTTTAAATGGGCCTATTTATTATTTACCATGGTTCAGTTTTTTGTAATGGTCCTGTCCAGTGCCCAAGAGTATGAACTCTGTCAAAAAATAGCACCTTCTTTTATTTGCAAGACAACAAATTAACCAAATTTGGAAATTCCTTGATTTTTAGATTGGGAATTAAAGTATGTTGCACTTAAATTCACTGTGGAAAGGTAAAGGTATTTCCAACTTAAAATACTGATTTGATCAGTTTCTGTATATTTAATGGGTATTTTGATTTCAGGTTACCACCAGGTTTCGTCCAGCTGAAAAACTTGACAATATTAGTACTTAATGACATGTCCTTGACCAATCTCCCTCCAGACTTTGGAAGGTAAGCTGTACTTCCCCCTTGATTTATCAAAATGCTGTATTATTATCTTAAAATATAGTCTGTTGCCTTTAAATTATAGATTAGGTTTTGCTCAACAGATTTGTTGCGAGTGTAGCACTCCTATTCTGGAGATGTGGGTTCAAATCTTGCCAATCACCAATGATTTGTGATGTGATGTGAGGTGGTTCAGAACACACATTAGCAGTTCACATTTTCTAGCATATAGAGTTCTTAGGATCCTAGAATATCTAACCATAGGAGATACCTTTTTAGGTCTGTTAAAAGAAATGTCTCAGCTGGTCTAGTTAAGGGGACCAAATTCAAAAAAAGATTGAATAGTAAACAGGTGAACTAAAATCAAAATTTAGGTGCAAAATAAGGCCTGATGCCTGTCCTATTGTAATTTCTCAGATGTTCGTTATACAGTCTTTTCAAATTTGGTGTTGTTTGATAGAAAACTTTAAATTAAAAAAAATTTACGGTTTAAAAAAAATCATGCATTTTCAGTAATTTAAGTTATAAGATTCCATTTTGAAACTTAGCAATATTTTTTTTTAATAATTTTTTCTCAAGTAGCTTTTGACTGTGTTTAACACTATGTTCAAAATTTCATAAAAACATTTTAAGCGATTTTTAAGATATATAAAACACAAAAAAAAACTAGTAGTTTTAGCGAATTTCCCATATAGGGAATAAGCTATTACCGTAGTACTCATGGTAAGACCTGGACGCGGGACCGATTGTTTTTTTCGTTTTGAGGTCCCTAGAGGCAAAAAACACTATCCGCTCAAATTCATATATATATATATATGTCCGTTAGCACGATAACTCGAGCAAAAATGATCTGATTTTGATTAAATTTGGTACAAACGTGTAAACCTACGTTTATTCGAACGAGTTCGTGATCCAGCATGATCGGACCATGGGAACGGGGGTTTACGGGGGGTTTTATGGGGTAAAAATTGGTTTTTCCCATTTTTGACCCAAAAAACATAAAATTTAGCAATTTCTTTCCAAACCATTTTGTAGAGCTTAAAAAAACAAATAATTTAGTATATTGAAAAGTTATTATGGGCCTAATGGTTACGGAGAAAATTCCAAAAAATTGTAAATTTAAAATTCCCATGTTATTCTTATGGAGAATAGAATAAGTAAACTGTTGTAGTTAGCTTGTTTATGAACATATTTTGATCAAATTTGGAAAATGTTTTTATTTCTTACTAACTATTAACATTTTACAAAAAAAAAAAAATTGTTTTACCCTCCCTGATGCAGCAAACCTAAGTACTTGTTAAACTAATTCTATTTAAATGGGGAATAAATGTTATATTTTTAAGTATACATATCAGTGTAAATCCAATCAGTGAAATGGAAATTCGCTTAGTCTGCAGGTTTGCTGCGGCGGGGGTATTTAGCTATATGATATTGACAACCCAGTGGTTCAGATCAAGGCCCCACTAGAAAAACAGGCCATGCTGTAGCACGGGCAGCGCAACACTACAGTACGTCACAGTGGTGGATAGTTGTACTAATTTCTTACCATTAAAATTTTACAAACAGCCAGCTTGTTTATTTACCTAAAACATATGGGAATGGCTATGGCAATGAATTTATCAATGAAATCTATCCACTAGTGTGACGTCATGGATCCTGCAGCATGGCCAGTTTTTCTAGTGGGGCCTAGTTCAGATCCCACCTAACAAAGTAGGCCTAGGTCCTCATGTTCATTGTATAAAAAAAACAAAAAAACTGGGAAAGAGGAATTGTTGTCTTGGAAAACTTCCTTTACTAAAAGCCATGTAATAATTAAATCTGTTGACATCTAAAACACACATAGGCCCTCTCGCCTTAACAAATTAAAAGTTGAATCTATTGTTTTCAAACATTAAAGAAAAAATATTGTTTTCTAAATGTCTAAAAGCAGCAGTAAAGCACGAGGCGTTGCTGCAATGCTGTGTTTATTTTTTAAAAGCAGACGACAATGGTTATTAGGGGAATTCCTTATGGGGCCCATTGTCAAGCGTTGTTTGCATCATCTCTGAATACATTTTCAGACTCATTGTCGTGTTTTCTCCACTTTCAGTTTAATCATGATTAAAGTTTTGTGTAATTTTTTATGATTTAAAATATATAATATTTTTTGATGCAGTGATATTGGTTGATTTTAAACGTTTGCAAATGTATTTGATTAAAAAAGTTATAATTTATAAGGCTTCAGTTATTTTTTTTTAGATCGTTTCATATTTTTAATATCTTTTTCTTTAATTAAAATGCACTTAAAAACTTGTGCTTGCTTCCCATGTAATTATTAACAGTATGCATGTAGTAATTCATTATTTTGAATTATTTTCTTATCTAGGCCTATTGTTATTTTCTAATTGTTACACAGAAGTTATATTATTCATGTAAGAATGGTGAGTCTGTGAACAAATATATATATATATATATAAATTCTAATTTTTTGTTTGGCTAGCCTATAAAATTAAAATTTAATCTTATATTTTGTTTTAATGCTAGCCTTTACTGAGTAAAATATTTTTAAACTTTCTTTAAAATAACCAATTGTTCAATGCTTTTTTGGGTTCATTATTTCTAGGCACACTACAAATACTAATCATAGGGATTAATATTCAGTTCTTTTAGATAATTGTTCCTACTATCCTTCACATTTAATATTAAAAACAACAGCTGATCATTGTAAATCTGAAATTCATAATATTGTAAAAATAAAATATTCCTTTCTGTTCTTCTTGTAAACATGGTTTACTATTTTTTTCTCTCTTAATATTTCATTAATAATCACAAACACTCTACATTATTTAATGGTCCTTCGAGCCGGATATGAACCTGTGACCTATGGACAAACACTCTACAATTAACCTAGGTTGGTAATTGAAGTTACATTCATAGTTTTATATAAGATATTTACAGTACTAGTTTAAATAATTAAATACAATGTTTTATATTCCAGTTTATCAAGTTTGGAATCCTTAGAGCTTCGGGAGAATCTTTTAAAGTCACTTCCAGAATCTTTATCACAATTGACGAACCTAGAACGGCTTGATCTGGGCGACAATGAGATTGAGGAGTTGGTAAGTAAATCATTTGTGTCAGTTACGTTTATTAACTGTGTTTTTCAAACATCTTGTGTCAAATTGTTACAGTGTCACTTAGGTGTAATGTTTCATGGGCGTCAGGTTTGAGAAATGCTAGGTTGTTGGGAGAAAGAGGCAAAGACTGACTGATATAGGCCTACTGACTAGTTAGGCTACTTGCTATGGCTCCAGTCGTCATGTATGCATGACTTGTATTCTGGTCTTAATAGCGCTAATGCACTGATAAAGGATTTATCAATGGTAAGGACTTGGAGTACTTGTAAGTGTAAGGAACCTATAACCTCAAAATTGTGCTTGACCGCTTTTTTGCGGTATTTTTTGAGGGTCTATCCGGGTACTTCACCCCTGCTTTTCCCCTCCATTTGGCAATACTGAAGGCCGGCTAGCAGTATTGTTTAGTGCAGCTATCTGTTGGGTTCTTGTCTACGTCCACAACCACTGGGACACAGTATATGCCTTGCCTATCATTAGGATGAAACTAAATTTAATTGTTTTCGCACACTCATCCACGCAGCGTATTAGCTGTTCGCACCACCGGCCGCGGCAGGCCATTGCTCAACTGCATTGAACATGTTAAGCTAGCCATTGTAAAATCTTGTATTAATTTTATGGCTTTCACAGCTTTAAATAATTTAAATGAGTGCAAATGATTCCTTTTTTCCCCCTTATGAGTAGTTTTGAATTTTTTGTCCGTAGACACACGTGCTTGTGAAAAGTTGGCACTGACTAGACACGGAAAGCCTATTTTACGGTTGTGTAAGGTATTTCCACGATTTTAAGGTCTGTTTACTTTCAGTGTACAGTAGAGTCTCTATAATCCGGCCGTTCATTAGACCGGCACGTCCAGTAATCCGGCACTGTGTTTCCGCCGATTATTCAGTAAATTTTCATGTCTAGACTTGAAAACGCGAGTGTCCATATTTCACAACAGCAGTACACTGACGACTGACGTCTGCTACGGGTAGTTGCGTTCAGTGCGTGGCGTGTGAGTTGAGTGAAGGCAGTATTGTGAGTACAGTGTATATACTATACAATCTACAAGTGTAGTGCGATGTCGGGAAAACGTAAGCATGTAACGCTGACTTTAGATAAAAAGTATACGATTTTAAAACGTTTGGAAAAGGGTGAAAAGTTGGCTCATCTGTCTAAGGAATACAATATCGGCCGTGCAACTATACACGACATAAAGAAGAAAAAGGAGCAAATCGAATCATTCTTTAAGAGGAGTAGTGAATCATCTTCGAAGGTAAGAAAGACATTAAAAGTAGGCGAATTTCCGCAAGTAGAAGACGCACTTTATAATTGGTTCATGCAAGAAAGGAGCCGACACACGCCAATTTCAGGTGATATTATAATGGAAAAGGTGAAACTGTTCTATAACAAAATCATGAAAAAGGACGACTTCCGTGCAAGTGTTGGGTGGCTGGATAAATTCAAACGACGCTTTGGAATTCGACTGCTAACTATGACTGGTGAAAGGCTTTCGTGTGATGTAGCGGCTGCAGAACCTTTTATTGAAAAATTTAAAGAAATCGTGGATGAAATGGACTTAGGCCCAGATCAGATCTACAATGCTGACGAGAGTGGTCTGTTTTGGCGTCTTTTGCCGAAACAAACATTCGTTCATAGAGAGGAAGCTAGGCTAGTGCCCCTGGTCGCAAGTTGGCCAAAGATAGAGTAACTTTTATGCCGTGTTGTAATGCTAGTGGCACGCATAAATTAGAATTGCTATTGGGAAAGCCAAAAAGCCAAGGGCTTTCAAAAACACACAGTTGCCAGTTACATACACAAACTCGACAAAAGGATGGATGACAAAAACTCTTTTTTCGGAATGGTTCCATCAAAATTTAGTTCCATCAGTAAAAAAGTTTTTGAAAACACAAAAACTGCCTCAAAAAGCCCTTTTTTTGCTCGATAATTGTCCTGGACATCCAGATGAGGATGAGTTAAAAAGTAGGGATGGAAAAATCACTGCTTTATTTTTGCCTCCAAATGTAACTCCGATACTCCAGCCCATGGACCAAAATGTGATCCAAACTATAAAAACGAATTAAAAAAAACCCTTTTGTACAGTGTTTTGTCAAAAGAGGGGAGTGTTGTTACAGCTCTGAAGGAAACCTTAAACCTTAAAGATGTTGTTTTTAATCTTGCAAGCGCATGGGAAAAAACTTGCAACAAAAACAATTGTTTGTTCATGGGCGAAGTTGTGGCCTTCTCTTGATTTATTAGATGATTACAGAAGACAATCCAAATCCTCAAACGACAGTGACAACAGATGCTGAGCTAAATGACTTGAGAGAAGCAATAGCCGAACAGTTAGTAGACGATCCAGAAGATCTGACATCAGCCGATGTTACCGCCTGGTTAGACGGAGCAGACGACGAGCAGTGTCAAATCATGACAGACGATAAGATCATCGAAGATGTTCTAGACGGCAGTGACGTGGTGGAGGGGGACGAGGAGGGCGGAGTGGGCGGAGCCAGTACGTCGACAGCTGCAGCTGCACACACAGTCAACACGGATTTGGTGCTCTGTGCCTACGCAACTGCAATAACTTGGGCGGAATAAAACGGTGCTTCGGCTTCCTATATTATGACGCTAAAGAGGCTCCAGGAAAATGTTTTAAAACTTTCTTTTAATGCAAAGAAGCAGAAAAATATTACAAACTATAGGTCTTACATGTAAAGTGTACAGTAGGCCTAAAGTTCTGTAATTTTCATTTTGTACACGTACAGTATTTAGTGATTATCTTTGTTCATTGTCTGATATTGTACTGTACGGTTGTTTGCTGTTTCATATCACTGTTTATTTTTCACAATAATACATTAAACAACATTTCATTAGGCCTATACTGTACAGAAATTCAAATAATTGTTATCATGGTTTTCGTAAGCAATAAAATGTTGTTTATTGTAAAACCACTTTAATTTCTGATGCATTTCCACTATTCCGGCATTTTCTATAATCCGGCCCTACTAATCCCCATATAGGGCCGGATTAACGAGATCCTACTGTACTTTAATACTAAAATATTCACTGGGTTTCTGTTGTTTTTTTATCATCTGTTATCTTGTTACAGCCTCATCATATTGGCAAACTGCCAGCCCTACAAGAGCTTTGGTTAGATCACAATCAACTTCAACATTTGCCTCCAGTGAGTAGTCTTTTGATTTAATTTTAAAAATTAAATACAAGTTCATACGACAAAGTCTACTAAGTTATTCATGTTTTGTACATCCAAGAATTTTAGTTATTTTTGTGGTAACTTAATTTAGTGACTCAAAAACTTCATTGAAAAAGAATTGGTTATTTTTAAAGAATTGGTAACCCCCAAAAAAAGAATATGAAGGGTTTGCACTGCTTTGTCTTAAAAACGTTCAGCGTTCTCTCACCAAAGGTTAGTACCCAAAATGAAATTTAAACCAATCTAAATAAATATGGGCAGTGAGCTGGTCTAGTAAAGTTGTAGCCTTCAGTCCCTGAGGTCCCAGGTTCAAATTCTACAAATGTATTTTATGTACTAACACTGCAACCTTTTAGTCGGAAGTAATGTGTAAAACGACCCTGAGCTAGAGCCTAGGTCTGAGACAACAGAAGTGAATAACATCTTGTACATTTTTCAGGAAATTGGCAATCTAAGGAAGCTCACATGTTTAGACGTATCAGAAAACAGATTAGAAGACTTACCAGGGGAGATTGGTGGCCTGGTTAATCTGACTGACCTTCACTTGTCTCAGAACATGATTGAAACACTACCAGACGGTTTGGGCGACCTGGTCAAACTGACCATTCTAAAAGTAGATCAAAATAGGCTTGCTAGTCTAAATCAAAATATTGGCAAGTAAGTACACCAGCATGTAAAATGTAGGCAATAAGGTAGGTTCTAACTGAGCACTAGTGGTAAAAATGTAAAAGTAGCATAAAAAGTGTGCACTAATATTTTATGAGCATGGATTTGTTGTAGAAAGGACTTGTTTGTCTTGTGCCATACTACATAAGCAAAATGATTTGTAGCAGAGGTGATTTGTAGCAAATACAATGTGATTCTCTTGTTATATTAATAGCTCAAAAGTTTTCTTACATCTTTAAACCCTAGAAATGTCAGTCGGTGATTTTATGGCTGATTGAGCACCTCTGTGAAGAGCCATCGGTTATAAAATGACTGATCCAGTATTTAAATATATTCTGGTCTTGCCTATAATCAACGGTTTGACTTTTATTATTAAGCATGGATGTGAAGTTAAAGAGGTTGGCTATCCTGCTAACTCCCCCGTAATATTTTCTGATGGGTTGGCATCCTGCTAGAGTTTACTGAAATCTTGTTTTATTTCTCCTATCCTGAAGTTCTATATGCCGTTTGCAAACACCATCACTTATTTAAGTTATTAAAACAAAACATTAATTCTGACTTATTATCCATTGGAACAGTTTTAATAGTGTATTATAATATGTGAGTAAGCTTTAGTGAATGTGTAAAACTTTTTTTTTAAATTAACCATGCAAAATCCAACAGGCAGTTCCAGGATAAACTATTTTTTATTTTTCACATTTTTTTCAATGGTAATTGTTACATCAAATGTAATTTGAGTCATTTCAAGGCTTCAGACTCTTAATGTAGCCTTTTGACATCATTATGTCTATGACGGTCCTTTGCCTGTAGAATGTCAATGTGAGAAGCAGTTCCTTAGAAACTAACACTGGCTATGCTTGGTAAGAGCTTTCCAGAGGTAGTACAAATGAGCTTCTTTGCTGTAATTCCAATTATTTTTTAATGTTAAGGCCAACTATAGGCCTACTAACTCTTTTTCTTAATAAATTAATAACAAACCTTTAATAATATAGGATTATCTTTAAAATATTTTTTTCTTCATCCTATTACAGCAAGCATAAAAATATAAATTTCCTTCAGAGTGTAGACATGTCTAAAAAAAATATATTTACTATAACGTTTATCAAATGAAATCAAGACGTGACATTTGGTCAATACCCTGATTTTCCAGGTGTCTTACCAATGTCCCAGTGTCTTAAAGTCTCAAAACTGTAAGATGTCTTTGATTTACAAAAATCAACAAAATAATCTTAAAGTTTCCACAAACCTATAGTGTTAATTTTAGATAAAAAGTTTCATTTATGATATTGTGAACACATCCACTCCCTGAAGTAATATAGCTCTACACACAGGGATGTGAACCTCCTAATATTGTATCTTTATCTTAGATAATCCATTTAAAGGCACATAAACGTGTCATTTGTAACAATCCATTGTTTTGTTTCAGGTGTGAAAATTTACAGGAATTAATATTAACGGAAAATTTTTTAGTAGAACTACCATTGACTATTGGTAATCTAGTTAGGTTAACAAATCTCAACGTGGATCGTAACAGTTTACACAACCTTCCAGTTGAAATAGGTAAGTGATTTTGTTTTGTTATTAGAATAATAGAAATAATTATCGTTTCTCGTTCCCCCCTAATCGGAAGAAATTTTTATCAAAACAGGTCTTATAAGATAAAAAACTGTAATAATTTATCTATTTATTTACCTCATCTCAGATGTTCACAAATTCTTTGTACCCTCATTTACGTTATGTTGCACCACTATTTGATCATTAACAGTCATTACAATACGAAAATATTATTTACTTGTCGAATCAGGAGTTTATAGTCCTTTGTGGGACACATATCACAATGTCAATAATACAACAAACATTGACATTAAAAATTATATTATGATTAAAACAGATAGGCCCTAAGCCTTCCACATACAACATACATTAAGACAAAAAACATTCAAATAAGTTTGCTTTTTTATTCAATCTTAAAAGTCTCTTAGAAATAATTTTTTCAAGTTCTTACATTTGTAATCATAGAAGCACTTATCGTCGAGTTATTACGAGTAATTTGGCTGCACTAGTTAACAAGATTTTACAACATTACCAAAAAACTTCAATAGTATAATCCAATTGAAAATATAATGAAGAGTTGTATTAAATTTGGCATTGTTATAACACAAAACAGCCCATAACTATAAGTTTTTAGTAGTTTAAATTGCATAACATTAAGGAAGAAGGATTGGATACACAATTAACTTACCCTAGAAAAGAGTTCCAGGCAGTTTAGAGTTCACGAAAAGTAGAACCTGTTATTTAGCCCCCTATCAGACTTGTTTATTTTGAAGAATCCCCATGTAGGGGAATTTAAAATGTGAAATGTAAAGGATAGTGTAATATGCTTCTTCTTTTGCAGGAAATCTATCACAACTAGGAGTGTTATCTTTGAGAGACAATAAACTATCGTATTTGCCTGCTGAAGTAGGAAACTGTAAGGAGCTACACGTTCTTGATGTTTCTGGGAACAGGTGAAATGTTTTATGATGTTTTAGTCTTTGGTATTTTTGAAAGAGTATTGCAGACAAGCTTTGTGAGACTTCCCTACAACTATCAAATATTACTTATTTATCTTTATCATATTTATCTTTATAACTCAGTTATTATTTTTATTGTGAGTGTTATTAGTATATAATAGCATTGACTTTGACTTGTGGATACTGAAGTAGACATCCCATACTTAAGTCTATATGGACGAGTTATTGCCAATTTTTAATTCTAAAAAATCACAGTTCTGTGAGCCACCAATAGATAGGCTAGTAGCTAAAATTCTATTATCTACCTTATTAAAGTATAAAAGTGCTATAGCTTACAATAAACCGTCCTATTAGTTTGATTTGGTTAAAAAGTATGCATATTTCTTCTTTATTGTCACATAACGTTTACAAAATATAGCAATGCTATAAAACAGGTGACATTGTCAATACAGTATACAAATACCTTAAAACTAAGGAGTTATAAAAGAATAAAATAAACTAATGCTATGAAAATAGAAATAATTGTTGTAGACAAAATAGATAAACTTAAACATTGCATTTAAAATACCAAATAATTACACATCTTGATCACATAAAAACTCATCTATACTATAATATGTTTTCCATATTTGATAGAAATTAGTCATTAGCAGCACAATCTGTCAGTGGCTCACTTTACCTGTGATCATTTTAATTAAACTGGCGACAACTTTGACTTTGGGATGGAATGCCTAGTTCTATCAATAGTCAAACTTAATACAGTACAACTCCAGTGAATCAAATCAATTGGGTCCGTAACACATGGAAAGTAAAATATTTGGATAGTTGGATTTTTACCTAAATTCGGGGTATTCTACAGAAAACAAGACAAAATGAGGCGAGCTTTTACTATTGCGAGCACAGTTTGCGACAAAATTTTGCATTAAAAAATTCAATCGATTGGGTCAGATTATGACTTTCCATGAGTCAGTGAGAAGATGTGCAAGATTTTGCTGCACCTGCGAGAAAGATGATGTTTCCGTGACCGCAAGAAATAATGGTGATGTCTACACGATCACGGAAGATCTACAAGATTTTGCCGCGATCGCGGAAGGGATGATGTTGTGTCCATGACTGCGAGAGATGATGATCATGGCTACACGACCATCTGATGTATTTTACATTTGGTTAGGTTACGGAATCCTAAAATGATGATGTTTCCTTACCGCAAGAGTCGATGAAAAAGTAATTGTGATTTTGTGGATTTAGCCACGATAACGGCTTCTACTTTCTTTAATATCAGTTCTTACTAATGTAGTTTCATGTTGTTTTCTTTTTAAATTCTTTCTGTAAGCGGTTCAGATGATCAAGGATTTAGATAGTTTGGAGTTCTATTGTAGCCTATTTTCAGTTAATTATTTTTGTTGTGAAATAAACCTAAGATGAAAGAAGAACTGTTAAGGACAAGTTTAGTGTAGACAAATCACCGAGATATCCTGTAAACCCTGAACATTACATGCCATTAATATTAAAATAACAATATTAACAATGAATAATATTAATATTATTAATTCAACCAATGTGTTGTCTATAGGTTGCAGTACCTGCCGATGTCTCTGGCGCAGTTGAACCTGAAGGCTGTGTGGTTGTCTGAGAACCAAGCGCAGCCAATGCTCAAGTTCCAGACCGATGTGGACGAGGCGACAGGAGAAGAGGTGCTTACATGCTTCCTACTGCCTCAACTGGAGTATCAAGCAGACACTACGGCAGGTAACTGGACCTCAAACACTGTTATGCTTCTTGATCAATTATATTCATGATGGTTAACCTTTAAATTTAATTTAAATGATATATTTTACAGATATTTCTTTACGACAAAGGGTCACAAAAAGTCCTGAATCATTCATTTTAAGAGTCCTTGGAGCCCAGACGTTCTAACTTGTAAAAAAATTTAAAGAATTTAAGAAAATGTCTTATCTTATAGTTTATTAGATATTTAAATTACAAACACTTTGGTGTTTGAAAAAAAATTTGAGATGGTAAACAACTCTTTAGTGGCTGTTTGAAACTAACAAAATTAACATTGCTCTTACGGCGGGCAAATCCAAAATGGCCGTTAGCTTCCATGGACTCCCTTAGAGAACAATTCAAAACTACAAAGAACATTTCTAATTTCAAAGTTTACTATGTATTTAAATTATAATCACTTTGGTTTTCGAACAAATATTTTTGGACCATAAATAACTCTTCAGCAGCTGTTTGAAATGATCCAAGATGGCCGCTAGCCTCCAAGAACTCTTAAGGAGACATTCTTTTCTATTACTCGTTTTGTGGAGGATAGGTTTAACAGCAGGATAACCTTACTGATAAATATAAATATAAATATAATGTTTATAAAGTTCACAAATAAACACACAGAACATTAAGAGCTACTAGTCCCCTTCTTCAGTGGTAGTCTCTTTTCATTTAGGTTGTTCTGGTTGTGGCTACACAATCAATTGGATAGAAAATTTGTAATAGCTTTTAAAATTCTTTATTTGTGCATTTTCATCTATTTTTGTCAGTAGGGTAAGCCTGGTGTTTAACCTATCCACCACAAAATCTTTAAAACCCCTTGCCTAAAGCCATCTTTAAAAAAATGTAAATTTATAATAATCAAATTATTTTTGAACTCTAAGATGTTGTGTACAGAGTACAGGTCTGAATGTTGACTTGGTGTATATCTTCTTTTATCCCTCCACATTTCTCTTCCCCTAGCAATCTCTATGGTCCTCTCTTCCCCACAACCTTTTCACTTAATATCTGCATTTAAAAAAATAAAGAGCCTTCTCCATGCAGTATTGGCCAATTGAAGTAGTCTTACCAAATGTAATAATGTTTTAGATTGGATACTGAAGTAGACTTCCCATCTATATGGACCAGCTGTAGCCATTTTTTTATTAAAAAAGAATGTAGTTGTGTGAGCCAGTCACAGAATGCTAAAGTGTCTAAAATTCCATTTTATACCTTATTTTATGTTGCTGACCAGGTCATTCCCTAAGTTTGGCTTGGTTAAAAAGATTGTGTATTCGGCAGAATTTAGTAATTTAGATCAGCGCAATCTGTAGGTGGCTCACATCAACTATGACGATTTTGATCCAAAAGCTGGCTACAAATTTAACATGAGAATTGAATGTGTAGTTGTATTGAATTTTAGTTAAATATAATAGTATTTACACATTTCTATTTGTGGTAAAAGTCTTTAAACTTCATTGGTCACAATGGTAGCTACTTCCAGGTTGAGTAGATTTTCTGTAATGTTGACTGTATTCTTTGGTTCACCAACTATTCAATGTATTTATACTGTATAGCACTGTATTATATATTTCTATATACCTATTCTGTATGTGTAATTAATTAGTGATGGGCCGATTAAAAAAACTAATTATTTCCAATAATTATGTAGAATTTGATTCTCAATTTCATATGCGATTCTGAATAAAGACCAAATACTTAAATGAAAAAAAGCAAAACATTTAAAGTTTAACTAGTAAGGTTTATTAAATTATTTTAACAACACTTTACAATGTGGTTGAGGGTCTGAGAAATAAGGAAGTTTTTGTTTTCCTTTTCTTTCTTATAATTTGAATAATTTAACAATTTTTTCTGAATGGGAAACTTGTAACATTGCCTTAATAAATTGTTGAAAATTGTAGATTATCTTTATTATGTCAAGTTATATTCTGGAATCAGTATCGAATAATGACATGAAGTATCGATAATCCATGAGCCCATCGGTATCGAAAGTTTTTGAGGCGGCCCATCCCTGGTAGTCATCTATCTGTACTTTTCACCAGTATACTGTTACTTATCACTGTATTCCACATTTCTACCACAGCATTGTATTCTATCACAGTAGTAGTTGTATCTATCTCTATCCTATCTCCCGCATGCTCTGTTGTGCCAGGCAAGACCCTGTATCAAGACTACGTTTTATCACCCGCAGATGGCGCTCAGGAGAGTGACGAAGATGACAACTGGCAGGAGAAGGAGGCCTCGCGCACTCATTCGGTCAAGTTCAGTACGGAAGACGCGGAGTCAGATGCTGGCAAAGAGGTAAGTTTAACGGATTGTTGTTATCAAGTTGGCAACCAATAGTTGAATACAGTGGACTCCCAATATCCACAAGTGGATTAACCTCAATCACAAAAAACATAAATAAATATACTATGCAAGTTAAATGTAAGTAAAACAGCGACGGCCAATATGTTTAGTAAGGCACATCATCTTGCAGGCAGACTATAAAGTTGCTGCTGTTTACTTCACCGACCACTTAAAAATCACTGTTATTATTTCACACACAGCGTATTATTTTAATCACAGCGTATTATTTTCTTTACTACCCACCCGTTTATTTAATTTAAGAAATGTTTACTCGTTTCTCTTTGTAAGTAATGTAGTGAACATTAAGTAGGAAGCAACTAAGTATGTTAAAAGTGACATCGTTTCAGGTAGTTAGGCGACTTTTAAAGATTTTGTTCTTTTGTAAATTCATAAAGAAATAGATTCAATATTTTGTATTTTTTTCAGTCAACACCATTTGTCAGACAGAACACACCCCATCCTAAAGAGCTGAAGGCCAAAGCTCACAAGCTTTTCAGTAAATCGAAAAGTAACGAAAGCAGAGAATACACGGCTGAGGATGCGGTAAGTAGTAGGATACAATATTTATAAACTTAACTGTAACTTTAATATGTGTTCTGATCTGTTTATAGTTAACCCTTCCCGGACGGGAGACGGATATATCCGCATATGGTTTTTGATGCTCCGGATGGGAAGCGGTTATATCCGCCTTCTTTTCAGACAGACTGGCAGATGCTTGAGCAGTAACCAGATGTTTCGCGGAACCAAGGCGCCACTATCCTGCTCATTCCATGACTGCGCTCTCCCCCGCACTCCCCCCTCTCTACTGCGCTAACCCCTCTCCTGCGCCTCAACCCCTCCCGCGCACCTACCACCACTCCTACGCTCCCCCCCTCGACGTTTCGCGCTCAACATTGCGTTGTCTCTATTTATTGTTTACATAGGCAGTTCTTTATTTATTGCCTAACGTTGTCATGGTCATATCTTCAAAGACGGGTGGCGGATATATCCGCTGCATTTCTACTCATCCGAGGACGGGTAGCGGATATATCCGCATAATTAAAAACGATAAAAAAAAAATTATTTTGACAGTATGATGTGTTCCACTGTGTTTCTTTTATGTATACTTGTGTAACAAAACACAAATATGAAAAAAATAGGGATGGTCAAGTCTCGAAATTTCGGGAAATTTTCGGGAAATTTTCAATCTCGTTACACGAGACGAGATTACTTTTTGGCCGAGATTTTTATCGAGACGAGAATAAAAAAAAAAAAAAAAAAAAAAAAAAAAAAAAATTAAAAACGCCTGCAGAAAGTCAATGCAATACCCGCAATACAGGAGCGTGTTGTAGTTGCGTTTCCTTTTCGAAGGCGTTCTTATTTAATTAATTCTTTTAATGTAAATATTACTTTAATTCTTTTAATGTAAATATTACTTTCATTATTTTAATAATATTACTTTAATAACATTTAAGAAGTTTTGTTAAGTGTAAGCAGTGTGAGGAATGTTTTATTACTATAAAAAAAGTCAAAACAAGTAACTATTTTATAAAAATTAATATTGCTTTTATTTTATGATTTATTTTATTTTAGGATAAGTTGAACTCTATCCTAACTGATATCACCATGTTTCCTAATCGTAGGCATTTTTAATAAGTTAGGCGTGATTAATAAAAAAATGTTATGCTGATGTTATTTAATGAAAGATTGTAAATATTCTTGCCTATTATCATTATTTTAGTATTTAAACAGTCATCTAACAATGTTACAAAATCAGGTAAAAATTTCGAACGTGCATTTCCCGTTGTGTATGAGAAGAGAAATCTCGTCTCGATCTCGTCTCGAAATTTTATGAGAAATAAAAAATCTCGTCTCGTCTCGTCTCGAACTAAAAATCCAATCTCGTCCATCCCTAGAAAAAAATAATTATTTTTTCCTCTAATTTTTTCCCGACCTATATCATGATTTCGCTTGTCTGGGAAGGGTTAAGTATTTTGATTGTGTTTGTATGTTTTATAAATCCTCCAATGTTGTGTAATCCCTCATGTTTCTTTGAGTTCACTGAGTTCTCGCAGCTAAAAAATAATTCTTTGTTAACTGACCAAAGAAGGACTTTCAATTACTCTCTTTTTACTTCTTCACTTATTGATTTTGTATGCATAACGTATGTTGAATAACCTTTAACATTAATTTATAATTTCTGTTTTTAAAATTTAGTGAATTACTGAGGGGGTTTAGTTTTGTTTTCATAAAGTCATTCTTATTTTTCTGACATAACTATTGTGGTTTAACCAACCTGTGCTTTTGGGCAGAACCCAACATTAAGGAGAAATATTGGAATTTTTAACTTCTGAATAGATTAATGATTTTTTTTATTGATAAGCAAATTTAGACTACCACACTATACACCTTAATACGCCTGATATTTTTAACTGTTTTTTTTTCAGGAGGAAATGAAAAGCATGTTTAGGAACGAACGATTGAACTCAAGTGAAGTCGAACAACTCACAGACCAAAGCTCTTATTCAGATTCTTATCCTAAAGAAGTGGAGCAGAAAGAGGTAAGATTGTTAACAAAAGTTATTATTTTTTTTTCATTTTACAGCAACCACAGTTACATACAGCACACATTTTTTTTGTCTACTGTAACCATATTCTATTTATCTGACAAAAAGATAGGGCATTTGCCAGGACAAATTTACAGGAAAGCAGGCTTACCTTTAAATAAGTCTATAGAGACACATGAAATATACAACACAAAAGTAGAAATTTTTGTGGTCACTGACCACTTTTTCAACCAATGGAGAAAAAGTCCAGTGACCACAAAAATTTTTACTTTTGTGTTGTATATTTCATGTGTCTCTATGGACTTATTTAAAGGTAAGCCTGCTTTCCTGTCAATTTCCTTAAACATGTTCTATTTATGTTAGATTTTAAGATGCTAATCTTGGAGGCAGAAATGTAAACAATTTTGTTTGTAAAATTGTTGTTTTTGTTGTTTTATAAAAAAAATTGCTTATTACTTTTAATGTTGCAAATCAAACCAGTAAAGATATCGTTTAGGTGTTAGAATTAGAAACCCAAATAGGTGTCTCTGGCCCAAATATTAAGTATAGACTAAAAAAAAAAAACGGTCTGATCAAGATGTTGAACATTCTCTCAAAATACCCTGTAAATACAAATACTAAGTTAAAACCACTTATAACTGATTCTGCACTCAAATTAGGCTATATGCATGATAAAGCTTTTCTTTACTTTCTCCTAGAACATCGTTAATTGCTATTTAGTTGTTATGAAAAAATGGTAATAGGTTGTCTTATTTTCAGGTGGCAAAAGTGGTTCAAAATAACAACAGTCCAGCTTTGATTCAACATGAAATGGAAACTCATGAAAATAACCAAATAGACGAAGAGGATGAAACTGAAAATGAATCAGAACAGGTAAAAAGACACTTTTTGATAGATTGCAATTGATATGAATAATTAAGTGCAAAAAAAATATAATACCTTCTACGTCTGTCCTGTCACAAATTTCTACCTATGCTTCTTCATTAAATTCTTCTTTTATGTTCTGTCTCCATCCTTAACTGAACAAATAATTCCAATAAATATGCATACACGGTTATAAGGTAGGATACACTTTTTATTCTATTTAAAACTTACTAAATTAAAACTACTTTATTTAAACCACACAAAGCGTGTCTAATAAACAGATTAGGTTTCCTAACTCTCAATAGTTTTTGTTTTTCCTCATTTGAAATGAGCCTCGTAATCAGTTATAAACATAAATTTGAAACTCCTTACAGTCTGTTTCAAGAACCATTTTGTTCATATGTTTTGGTTACAATTTGGCTACATATTTTCAAAGTTTTATTTATAACATGCAGGCTGTTACTAATCTTAAATTTAAAACACAATTGTAACCATGTTACAAGAATATTCTTTTTCTTATGAGTCTTGCAGTTTATTACAAAACATCCGTAATCAAGAGTTTTTTTTTTCACTTCATTTGAAGTTTGTGCTTCAAAATGGGTTTGTCTATTGTGTAAGTCCACTGGTTTGCAGTGTTGAAGTTGTTTGAAGTGTGGCTGTTATTTGAATGGTTGGGGTTTTAGTGGAAGAGTGTGCTGGTATTTAAAGTTTTAATTTTCCCCCTTTTTTTAGCCAAACAGGATTTTTTTAACGACTATTGCTCGTTGTTAAATTTAAAAAAAAACACGTCAAAATCCAAGAAATTTTACAAATTACAGAAGTATCTAGGACGTTTTTTTTAAGGTGAAGGAGTGTGATTTTTTGAAAACGCTTAAATGTTTTGTAGAAAATTTAATTCCTGACCATTAAAATTCTTTCAAATCTTAGCTCTTACCGTTTTTGAACTAAAAAAAACACGTTTTCTCAACAAAGGGGGGGAGGGAATTAAAACTTTGAACTGCCATAACTTTTGATAGAATTGACATAGAGACCTCTAGTTTGCGCCATTATTTTCTTTTATTATGACCTTTTCAATTATTATGTATAACTCAATAGGGGTTTACATTTGAAAATTTGTCTTACTCCTAAACTACCCCTTTTGGGGCTAGGGAAGGGGTAAAAATTTATATATACCAAAACTTCCTTTTTTGATCATATAAACATTCCCTGAATATTATAATTTTACCTCTATTAATAAAAAAATAACAGGGAGGGAGGGACTTTTAGGACACTGTATATGACTTGTGCTGCTACCTGGCAGTCAAGTTCAAAACTACTATACACACTCATACACGATACTCGGCAGAGTTGTAGTCCAGACTGGGTTGGCATTTTCGTTATCAACTGATACTGTGTACGTGTAAGTCTCGCTTTTAAACGTTTGTTTTTTGTGTTTTAAATTATCTTACGATCTTTATGTGAAGTAAAAAAAACACTTTCTTGTGCTGATCCATGTAAGAACTGAAACTAGTTGCTTTTGCAATTGTATTGATTCCCTAATTTATTTCCTTAGCAGGTATTTAAACCTTTCATAAAATTATTCAGCAATCCGGAGACTATTGTTTAGTATTATATTAATTGAATAAATCTAACATGACCAACAACAAAACCAAGAGAAGAATATAATCATGTAATACAATGTTGTAAACCTACTACCAGCACACTCTGGTTTTAGCACTAACACAGCATGGTAGCGTTGGCATGCACTAACGGGTGATTGCATGGTGGTGGTTGCAGGAGCGCCATGTTGGTTTTGACTCAACCGCTGCCAAGGGGGGCAACCGGCCCAACCGTCTACATCGCCGTGACACCCCCCACCATCTCAAGAACAAACGGATCAACCAGGCCGCCGCACTTGACAGGGACAAAGTGGCCGCTATAATCGCTAATGTAAATAATTGCTAACTTGACATCTTCATTCTTTATTGTCCTATTTGTATATGTTTCCTCTAAGATTAGGGACTGCATTTGACTCATAATAAAAGTCCATAGTTTAAGTTATCATTTTTAATTTTCTTGAGTATTCAGTTATCATGAGTATTTTAATTGGTAGTCATGATGAATTGGTTCTCGACAGGGCCGCACCTAGGCTGTGCCGAAGATGGCCTGCCAAAATGGCGAGGGTTTGGAACTCTGGCACGAGGCCGCAGTTTAAAATACAGTCTGGTACAGAAGTATGTTCCTTGTCCCTACTACCCTAGGCCTAGCATCTAGTGCTAGTGACACAGCCCCAAAATCACAGATATAGAGGTCGAGGTCGCCTTCATAAAATAAATGAACTACGAAAATGAAATTAAACTTATATCTATTTCCATTTTTTTAACCTAACTAACCCTTATATATTAACTCTTACTCTCTTACTTCCTATATTAAAGTTAAATTCCACCAAAAAAAGGATACTTTAGTTTACCTATGTAGCATTTTATACATTGTGATGAAATGGTATAAAGGATAAAGGATGATTATGTTTTATCTTACTAATATTATAAATATGAAAGTTTGTCAGTTTGTGTGTATGTTTGTGTGTGTGTGTGTTGCTCAATCACACATAAACTACTGGACGGATTGGGCTGAAATTTGGCATGATGATAGCTCACATTCCCGATTAACATTAAAGCATATTCTTATCTCAAAAACCCTTTCGGGCTCCGCCCCAGTGGCTCTTTAGTTCCCCATGTTAATCTTATGATTTTTCATATTTAAAAGTAATTAATGAATCTTAACAGCTGTTTCAATTAAACAAGTTGGTTCTGTTCTATGATGCTCAATAGCATAAAAGTTACAAGGGTTACCAACAGGGTGCAGCACTATTATTTTTTTTATTTATGACAACAGCTAATTTCCAACCAAAAGGTGAGTGAGCGTAGCGAACGAACTTCAACCAGGACGTGAATGAGCCATGCGAATACTTACGAAGTTAAACGGGGCGAAGCCCGCGGGTACAGCTAGTAAAATATATTTTTAAACCAACGATTTAAGCATAAACCATAAAAAAAGATTCATTATAGTCTAACAAGAAGTTAAATTTGTGTTTCCAATAACAAAATCTGAATCATTTCTTTATATTTTAAATTTTAACTTTTAATGGCTACAATTGCTTAATGCGTTTTACTGAATAAAAAAGGAGGCGCTTCTAAGCTGGTTCACTACGCACGAAGGAGCACCTAGACCTAGGTATGGTCCTGCCTCTGGATCGTCAGAATTAACAAGTAAAGGTTACTTGTGTGGCTGTCAAAACAATCTGTTACGTAAATCAACCTACAGCTGTTTAGTGTCACAGAAAATGGAGCACATTTTCAGGTCAACTATTCCAAATTTCCTCATGGTTTTTGTAAGATTCTGACCTGAAGAAGAGCTCCATTTCCTCTGTACAATACGGTTGTAGTTGATATACATAACAAAAGAATGTTCTGACAACAGTGTGTAAGAGTTCCATATTTATTTTACTTTGTTATTGTTATTCGAGGTCTACTATGAGTGGTGTACATGCTTTTCTTCCATTTTGTACTCTATTTTCATAAAACTTTATTTATAAGTATTTTAGCCAAGATTTATTATTGGATTATTGTGATTTGCATGATACTTTGCAACTAATTTCATTGAACTTGTTTGCATGGCACTTTTGGTTTGAAGTTACATAAAACAGGTTTCATAAATAGACCCTATTTCTATTTTAAGTGGAATAGAATAAATAATTTAGGTCTTTAATTTTTCTTTGTAGATATTTTGGAGACCATAGTAAAATATTTCATTTGTTGCATTTTGAATTTATAACAAAAAATAGAAGATTTTTTAGATCTTCACTGTATGTGAGACTTCACACTTAAAGATTCTTAATACATCAAATAATTTATTTTTGAAGTTGAAAAGAAAATTGTGTTTATTTTAACAATGTAAAGTTTGAACATGTAAAAGAGTAAAGTATTGGTGTGTCAAGTTTTTTTACCTTAAAATTATTTTTCTACATTGAGAGAGATATGTTAACAACTACTTACATCGGTTTAGGCCGTTTGGGGGAATTCACAAAATCGTAGTTGTCAGTACATTACATGCTTGTTTTTTGCTTTAAAATTATTAACTTTTAAATTTGAATGATTCACAATAAATGATTCACGACCAAGCTGTATGAACATTATTATTTATGAGCATACCTTACATTTACATCTTTAAATATTTGGTGGAATCTTATAAAATTTGCAGATTTGTGTAATTTTATATAATTTTTAGAGTTATGCAATTTATGCCCCTTATTTTGCTTTCGACCTTTCCTCTATTTGTTGATTAATTTACAGTTTCGTATAAATTAACATTAGTAACATAATTGTTGATTCACTTTACCATATTAACTATTAAAATACATTTGTGTGATGAATTCTGTGACCTCAGAGAACCCATTTAATTAATTGAATCAAACATGAACTTTGGTTTATTTAGTAGTAGTGTGGAGTAATTTGGTAGTTAATAGCTTTTACTTTTTAGCTGTAATAGATCAAAAGAATATCAAGTAAAAAGCCATAAATTATGGTTGCTGGTGTTATTTTCAAACTGATTTGAAATATATTTTTGCTCACTTTTAATTTTCTATAACATATTAATCAAGAATTGTTTTAAAAAGTTGTTTTAAAGAATTTTTTTATTTTAATTTTCCTGTAAGAATATTTGTTTCTGTGCCCCCTAAACAGAATAAGTACATTATGGCCCGACATTGTATGAATAAACGCCATAATACGACAGAAGAATTAAATTTTCTCTAAAAGTGAGTAAATAAAGAATTTGAATTTGAATTTGAATTTAAAATAACTCTAATGAGTTTACTTATTCAAATTTCCATAGTTTATTGGCATTTTTAACTAATATCAACTCACATCTCCCGCAACTCTGTAGATGGGTTGGCACCACTTTTTTAAAGTCGGTACCGGTACCGGTTCCCAACCAAAATCGATTCTCAGCTCACGGTTCCGGTACGATTGGTACCTCATTTTAAATTACTTAGCCTATTTTTTTGTTTTAAAACAAAATATCTGTATTTTAATTTTTCAAACTGATTGTTTTGCATTAGTCTAGAATGGTCATTCATAGTTAAGGGATTAAGAAAATAAAACCAGATTGTAAAAAAAAAAAATGCTTGAATAACCAAACAAATTAAAATCAAAGTATGTACCGTAGGCCTACCAGAAGTGTAAAATATGGCAACATTTTTACATTTATAAGTTATCTATAAGTTAAATTGAGAATTATTTTATATATACTATGCTTAGAAATAAGTAATATTTAGTAGGCCTATTTATTTAAATGATTCACTGCTAAATTAAAAAAATTCAATATAGGGCCAACAAACCTTATAATGAAAAATTGGCTCTGGAAATTTTTTGAACTACTGACTGTCAGGTTCTAGCTTAATTAAATTAAGTGGGTAATTATTTTGAATCATTTTGTGCCTAGAAGCTGTGTTAAATTAATATTGGCTACAGTATTTAGGAAAGATTTTTTATTTGCATTTATGACAACAGCTAATTTAAAAGTTATATTAACGTTGTTATATAAAGTTTGAAAATGATTTTTTGGCGCTTTATCAAAATTGTGGACATTTATTTAGGAATAATAACTGTTCTTCATACAACAGATCTAGATAGAACATAATTATTCTCTTTATTGTTCTCTTCACATTGCGAAGCACGGTTATGGCGGCTAGTAATAACATAAATATGAGATCAATTCAAACATAATCGTGTTCAATTATATGTAGTTGTGTTTAATAAAATAGTTCTAAATGTAATTATTTTTGAATTCTGAAATTCTTCAATCAAAGGTCAAAACCAAAACATTTCCAAAGTTTTGGTAGCTTTGAGATTCAAATTTAACAAATCACTATCTCTGACACACATACAGACAGAGTATGCCTGCTATAATGACTTTTTAAATTTATATTTTGTTTCTGTTATAATATTTGTATGTCACCTACTGTAATACAAAGTTTCACTAATTTAGTGTTGGTTATGTCTTCAGGTAACCTATCAAAAGTGTTGCTCATATGTTTGTATTTTTACTTTGAATCCCAAAGTTATGTTTAGTTAATTGACTATAAGTTACAGTAAACCAGCTGTAGCTCTGTCACACACAGTCAGACAGACTGACGGCACCTGCTACACTGCTATACGAGTGGTTTCACAATCTGACATGTTATCTATTGATTGCGTAGGCCCTCAGCAAGCAGGAGACTGTGTCACCGCAGCAGCCAGTGTCACAAGTGTCGTCTGCCGCGTCTGTGTTCCCCACGCCTCCCGGCTCCACACACGGTAACTACAATAACAGTTAGTGATGTAACTACAGTAGTAGGTGATGTACAGTAAGCGTAAGCTAGTGCAGTACGGCAGTCTGCCTAAGCTCAACGGCCGAACTAAACAGACGAGGTCGGGCGTGAACAGTTTAGACAGACGAGTGTCGCGTAGTACGAACTTTGTGACAAAGCGAGAACGGATATGGCACACTTATCACGGTAAGGTGAATCATCTGGGTAAACAAGTTTTGAGTTATCTGTGTGTTTGATTTATCAAATAAAATTTTTGTTTTGATTTGTTTTTTGAAAAATATTTATTAAATGCATTGATATATATATGTATTTTTTTTTATACAAAGAGTTTTTAGGTGTAGGGTAAAAGTTAACCTGAAAATCCCTAGTCATTTCTTTTTTTGGCACTTGAATACTTCTTACTGATACTAAACTTTTTTTAACCAAGAAAATATTTAGCTAGAATTATATTGAAGTCTAAAGTGAAAGCTTAATTTGACTACTCTGTTTTATTTTTAAGTCGTACTTTAGATGTTAAACTGCAAATAGAGTCAGTCAAATTTACTTTAATTAATATTCATCTTTCATTTTTAACCGACTTTCCCACTACCAACAAAAGGAGGAGGTTCTCAATTTGTTTGTGGCGATGTTTTTTTTCTTTCTATGTATGTTCACCAATTTCTCTGTGATTCTTTTACCAATTATTGTGGTTCCACCACCAAAATAACCAGGAGAGTTTCTATTTGGTACCTTATATATTATATTTAAGTATAATATTTGTTTCGGTGAAAAATTCTGAAAACCTTAAATATTCAACATTTATTTTGTTTACATTTGTGCAGATTGTTTACATTGGTGCAGAGAATAATGATAACATTATTACAGCTGTTAGTTGAAACCATTTAAATGAAGCTAGAGACAATTCTTCATGAAACAGTTGCTTCATATTGATCAATAAACTATTTCTTGCCATGCATTTTGTTTTGGTTACTATAAAAAATGTATTTTAACGTTTGATCTGATTTGTGTATTCAGTAATTCTGTTTTTAGTATTGAATATTATTCTGACTTAAAAAAACATATGTTTCAGTGAATAGCTGTACGATATTGACAAATAAAGGTGTATTGTGTAAACCAAAGCATTCGTAAAACAGGTCTAAATATAAATTAAATGCAATTATTCCTTACACGACCTAAGAAGTGTGACAGTGCATAATCGTCAATTGTCTTAAAAGTGTTAAATATTTTAATTACTAAACATGCATTTGCAGATGTGGAATGTTTATTATTCTCTACCCAGTTACTATATCATATCAATACTATTATGCCTGCTTCGGAAAGTCCTAGAGGAAGATGATATGCAATTTCGACTAGGCTATATCTTGATCAAACAAAACCACCTACATGGCTTGCACCACTTTTAGCTGAACCAATCTTTCATATACATATTTCATTTGCAGATGTGGAATGTTTATTAATATTCTCTACCCAGTTACTATAACATATCAATACTATTATGCCTGCTTCGGAAAGCCCTAGAGGAAGATGATTTGCAATTTCGACTAGGCTATATCTTGAGCAAACAAACCCCCTACATGACTTACACCACTTTTAGCTGAACCAATCTTTCATATAATACTTTCCAAAGGTACTATACATGTTATCGACCAATTTTCCACTTTTGAGAGATTTTTTAGTGCTGGTGGCTGAGGAATAACTTTCATATTGTCCCAAAAGGCTTGAGACGTTACTGTATTTCTTTTTATAATGTAGAAGTACACCGATTGCAGGAAACGATGATGTCTGACATTTCAATGTATCTAGAAAAGACAATTAGTTTTTCATTAGGCCTAATGTAATGGACAACTCTTTCTTTCTTAAGGAATATCTAAAAATGTTTATTTGCATTACCCATTAGATACCTGAACAGGTGACTCAAGCAGTTTTAAAATAATGATTGTTCTGTGGAACTTTTGGTTGTTTCAAACAGTTTTGCTTATCAAAAACCCTCAAGTAGTTAATACATAAAAAAATATACAGTCACTAAAAATCATGAAATAATTTATTTTTGTAAAAAAATACAACCGACTTCAAACGCTCTAAAAAGAATGAAATAATTTCAATAAAGTAAACTTTTGTATTAGGCAAGCTCACGTATTTCAAGTCGGCGCGGCTCAAACTGCAAATATGATTGAAATTAAATATTGTGTGTGTATTTTGCAAATCAATAAATTGTAGCTGGATAACATAAATAATATAAAAAAAACATACTGAACTGTTTTGTTTATATATTAAAGGAAATATTTTCTTGTATTTTATGTTTACTTCAGAATAAATGCATTATGAAAATAACACACACAAGTGTTTTATATGAATAGGAAAATAATTTAGTTTGATATTATGATAGGGAAAAGAAGCTAGTTTAGTATTAAAACGTTACTTTTCCAAGTTAGAAACATTTAAATGCGTTATAATCTTTTTAAAGATACTCGTTAATACTATAATGCCGATCTCTGATTACGGTAATAAAATAACACTTAACGCATAACTATGAAAAAGACATGCAGATTAACTCCTTTAGTTATAGATAGTCACCTGCAATATGGACACCCTCTTTCAATTTTGTATCAAAAATCATCATAGAGCCGCGCCGATTTAAAATACGTGAGCTTGCCTAATACAAAAGTTTACTTTATTGAAATTATTTCATTCTTTTTAGAGCGTTTGAAGTCGGTTGTATTTTTTTACAAAAATAAATTATATAGCACAATAATGTAACGAGTAAATAAATTTATTTTGTGGCATAAGGTATCAAATTTGTATTGTAATTCTTGCCAATGAATGAATATTTTAATATTTAATATTAAAAAATAACCCCACAACTAATTTGCATTTAGAAAATTCTCTTCAAACTGATCTCCATTGTGGCATACTTTAGTTTATAACTGACTCACACTTCAAGGCCGCCATGCTCATGAATGAGTCAAGACTTTGTGGTAGAATAGCTAGTAAAATAACAACAAAACTCTTATCACTGAAACACAAAGCCTTGTGACAATCTTTGTTGATAATACTTATCTTGAAATATGTAATCCTGTGTAAGACATAAAACTTATATTTTTGAAAAATACATTATTTTAAGTGACTTTTGAGTAAAAAACTGATAACTTGTGTGAACTCAGAAAAAATGTTGTAAACTAAATAATTACCTTTTTGTTTTTCTTAGATCAAGTGTTACTAAATAATAAAATATATTTACAATAATATTTCATTTTCCAGGATTTTAATTTAAAAGATTTTTCCATATAAAATATTTTTAGCTAACTATATGGTCTAATGATGGTGTTATTTGGAGAAAAATCTTTAATATTGGAATGTTTGCTCTGACTTTATCTTATCTACACTTTCCAAACAGGACAAACATGAGAACATTTTACTAAATTCATTACCTGTTTTGTCTATTAAATATTATTAGATGACAAAAAGTGTCAGTTAAAATTTCAAATTTTAACTATTTAAGACTTGATAAGTTTACAAGTTAAAAAATAACAACGTAAAGTTTAAATATTGCTTTGTTTAAGTATATTACAAAAATCCAAAGCTATACAATGGCAATTTTAATGTAGGCTTAATACTTGTTTAAATATATATTCACTCATTGTCAATTCACATAATTTTCACTTTGAATTCAGTGTATTGTGTAATTTGTTACGTCTTTTACATTATGACAGATCGTTGAAATATAACAAAAATATTAATTTATTTTGCATTTACTTTGATATTGAAGTAGATTGGTCCAGAACTGTGTTTTTAATCACTTGCCACTTTGATTCTACAAATTATGGACATTGTCTTATAACAGCCTATGTAGGCTTGTCTAGACTGAAAGAGAACCGAGAGATAATATCCTATTGTTTACTCTTAGTTGTCCTTTCACTAAATATAAAAAAATCCTTTCTCAATTAGTTTATAGGAAAAAAATGTGTTTTTGCTAAGTATTTTAAGTTCTAAAATCGGCATATGTGTAGTCTTAGGTTTTTGCATAGTTTGTACTGTATCTTTGGTATTTTATCACACAGTTTTAAATGGAAATATATCCTTTAATTTAAATAATTTTGGGGAACCTCTAAATTATCCTTAAAAAACTGTTTGAACTACTATTTTAAGCTAAATTTTTTTCAAAATTATTCAAGTAGATTATAGTTACTATAGTGCAAATATAGAGGCAACAGATACACAATAAAAGGCTACTCAACACTTACTGTATATTTAGACAAAATTTCCCATTTTTTTGGGACCTTTTACACTACCGCCCCTGGAATCTATTCAGCTGAGCTCATATTCTTTTTTGAAAATATAAAAAATCTTAAATTAATTGAAGGTAAACTTCAATTTTTTTCAACTAAAACACATTGTGGTTTGCAGAGCTGGACAGCACAGGTGTGGAGGTGGCAGAAGAGACGACAGAGATACGCCTGGAGCGCAGCGCAGGTGGTCTGGGGCTCAGTATAGCTGGCGGCCTCGGTTCAACCCCTTTCAAGGGCGATGACGAGGGAATATTCATCTCTAGAGTGACTGAGGGAGGGCCTGCCGACCTAGCGGATCTCAGGGTATGTACTACCTAGTGCACAAGTCAAGAAGAGGGTTTTGTTTTACAGGGTGAATCAGACCACCCGTTCACATGCTTTAACGGGATATCCGCTTGTGTAACTCACTGACTGATCAGGTATACAAATATTTACCCACTTCTAGAATAGCTAGGGATCTGAAATTTTTTGTGGAGGTCCGTCTCGGTCCCAAACCACCCAGTAAATCCAAAAAAGTTATATTTTCAAATTAAAACCCCCCCTAAAATTCCCTAAATCCCCCTTTTTTTTAAGAAAAACACGTATTTTTTACAGCTATAGTGCGAAAACGGTAAGAGATAGCAAAGATTTGAAAGAATTTCATGGTCAGGAACTGAATTCAGAAGGACAAGACAAACTTTGGCGTTTTTGAAAATCACACTCCTTCACTTTCAAAAAACGCCATACTTGAAAAAATGTGTAAAATGTCTTGGATTTTCGACGTGTTTTAAATTATTTCAAAATTACTTTTCTGACATATATTTTTACTTTCAATGGTCCCGACATTGAAAGAAAAGTGCCTAAAGTAACATTTTAAAGTTGTAACCAACAAAAAAAAGAAGCTGATTTTCAATAAAAAGGTGGTTTTTTTTACGTTTGTTGGGCCAAACCGCTGTGTAATGTGCACAGGTGGACTGATTCACCCTGTATAGGTAAAATATTACATAGCCTGACTTGAGCTGTTTTATTATTTTTGCGAGTCAATAGTCAATGTTTTTTTTATGTCACACAAACAGTTGCATATCAGTAGAAAATATAACATTTTTGTCAAATTGAACCGTTATTTTTTTTTGTTGGCAAACCTGCTGTGATACACAGAACACTTACTGTAATGGGAGGACGCGAGGATGAGTTACTGTTTGTTATCTGCCTTTCATAGATCAAGGTCAATATTCAACAGGCTGTGACTGTACAACAATTGATGTGTTTACTGGTAGTTTGCATTACCATTTGCCTTGGTAAACCCATCTACATCTGTTATGTGGGTGGGAGATGGTACCGTTTCCCCTTGGTAAAGTCAAATGAAGTGTAGAAATACTTTGGATATACTGTAACTAATCTTCAATAATTATGTATTTTGTTTTCTTAACGTTGTATACAAAGTTTATTTTTATTTTTGTTGTGTATGAATTATTTTTAGAAAAAACTCAATACTGGGCAAGGTTCTACATTTTTTGCAGATTTGCTGAGAATCAAACTTATCCAAAAATCCAAAACAATTGCGAGGCTAGCAACACACCAAGTATTATTATCATTTACCTTCATGGAGGCAGTGACATATTTAAACTATATAGTGGTTTAAATTACCTTCTTACTGTCAAAACGATCCTTTGTAGTTAGTAAGACTACAGCTGTTTCATGCTTCGAATGGAGCACATCATCAGGTCAGAAGAATGTCAAGTAGTCTTCATATTCCTCGCAGTGGAGTTCGTCAAAAGTTTAATTATAAATAGACAACACCTGACCTGATGATGTGCTCCATTCGAAGCATGAAACAGCTGTAGTCTTACTAACTACAAAGGATTGTTTTGACAGTAACAAGGTAATTTACACCACTATATAGTTAATTCAGACGATCCAGAGGCCATTCCACCATGACATATTTAAAGTTGAATATGAGTGCTGGATGAATGTAGATTGGAGTAAGATGATTGGTATAACTTTATTACTAACTGAGATTAACTGTTATTTTCTGACATTCTCCATCACAATTAGTTAACTATATAAAATTCACAACGTTTCATGTACTCAGAATTGAACACTTCCACTCCGTTTTACACTTACCCTGCGTTCAAAGGCAGCTTAAAATATGCACGAAATTGCTTCTTTGATAATAAAAGTGTTAAGTTTTAGTCCGCAGTGTTAGTTCCTAGGTGGAAGCCATTAGTCTTTTAGCACAGTTCTAATGGCTTCTTGAGTCACAGTGCTATCTTAATTGGTCACATTCATCACATAGACACATCACTTGACACTTTCTTTGACCTCTTGCACATGTCAAGCAGTTACACATCTGGACCGTTTTGAGTGATAGACTTGTGTCGGTCAATCTTTCTCCCTCCTCCCCCCCCCCCCCCAGAAAATATCAAAAATAAATGTTTCACTTGAAATTGAAGGAAAGGCTGATTAGTGATTACCGACTCATAATCCAGTGCTAGTGCGACCAACTTTCTTTATAAATCGTTTTAAATGTGAATTTTAATATTATAATAGCAGCAATTTCAGTTGAATGTTTAACTACAGTCAGATTGTAAACATAAAACATCGCAATATGGTACACTGTTGCACATATGTTCAATCTATCTATATATTAATAGGCAAGCATGTTTCTTTAAAACCTTTTTTCTCAGCCCATGTACATCGCAGGGAAAATCAACACATATTGTTAGGAAGATATTTTCCTGTAGATGTGTAGAATACTATTATAAAATTAAAATAGGCTAAAAAGAAAATACAAAACATTAATTTTAAATTTAAAAAAATGATTGTCATGCTGGTGACAAAATAACAATGAAATATAAACAGAAAATAAAAACAAATGGAAGAAATTCTAATCACATGTTTTATTTACAGTGTGGGGTGAAAATAGATAAGTCTGTACATTACATATTTTTGGTTGAGTTTTCGACCACTGGACGACCTCTAGTAATAATTAATATGAAAAACACAGTTCAATATTTTGCTAAATGATTTTGTTCCAACACAATTAAATTGAGCCAACTCTATTTAAAAAAAATAAGTGTGTTAAAGTAGAAGTAATTTTATTACTGTCACATGTTGGGTACATTAGAAAATTATCTGAGCTGCAAATGAATGAAATTGCTACTATTACAAATAACACTTTAAAGAATAATGGATAACTTTGAGGAAAGAGTTTTGATGTGTATGCGTTCCAAAATGTATATGCAAAAGGACGTCGTCACCTGTCTGAAACTATCTTTACATTTTAAGTTAAGTGCAATTCATAAAGTCGATAAATAACATATTTTATTGATGTGAACTCATTTGTATGACTAAAACAGAGCCAGATACAACAGTTTGTAACTTGTGTTTTTTCGCCACCTTCTACAATACTAGTGTACCTGTTTGCTAAGTATTACAGGCATTATTTCAAAAGAATAACAGTCATAATTTCTGATGACTTTAAAAGATTCGAATCAAAGATTAAGGAAATACTCAAGATGTACATAACAGATCGATATAATCAACATTTCTTGTAAATATCTTATCATTTTTCAAAAGCTGATCTTGTTTTTTAGTGTTTTATACCAATAGCCTTACTCATAGCCGCATTAGGTTGTCCATAATAACGATTATAAATATAAAAAAAAACATTATTTATATTATTTATCCTCCTTGGTGGTGTTCTATGACTTTCCTATGTTTCCATAGTTTGCAAATCGGCTCTTTCAATTATTAATAAGAAATGCGGCTCTTTCAATTATTAATAAGAAATGCAGCACAGTGTTAAAATTTAGTTTTCTTCTTAGTATATCAAATGATCCAGGCTTTCTCGCTTTTTTCCATTGTAATATTTACGCCAACCCAAATTCAAATAGTAAATATTTCATTTCAACCAAGTGAGTAAATGTTTGTAGCAAACTTACTGTTAGAATTAGCAAACTTATTGACTGTTTACAGTTAACATATGTTCTTCTTCTCCCTTTTAATTTCTGACAACAGCTGGAGTTTCATAACAATGCCTGTTTCCCATGTTAATCTTATGGAGAAATACAAAACTTTTAAGGGGCCCACGGCCTCACTCTCTAATTATCTCCCTAAAAAGAAAATTTCCTGCAAAACTTCACGTTACGCTCTTTCCAATGGCACCAAAAACATGTCAATCGGTTCAGTAGTTTGGAGGAGTAATTGTCACAAAAAACCTGCTTGCGTATTAAATAAGTATAGATTAAACATAACATTTTTTATTTGAATGTCTAATACAGCTGATCGAATCTCAAAATTGAAGCTTGAGAATCTATAATATCCACATTGTTGTACCTGACCCTAGGAGTGGGAAATACCGTTACTTTTCAGTAACAGTCAGGAACCTTCTTTGTATTTTGGTAATAGGTGAAATAACACTATTATTTTTGTCGCCTAGTATTTCCCCTTCCAGGGTTATTTCACTTGTTCGGGTACTATAGAAATAATATGATTCTCAGTAAACTATTACAATGCGCTCGCTATTAATTATTAGGATTATATGGTCAGAGTTATTTCCCTTGTTCGACCTATACGTTCTGATGATGTTACAAAAATAATATGATTCTTACTTCTCAGTAATTATTACCAAGCGCTCGCTATTAATTAATAGGATTATACGGTCAGCGTTATTTCACTTGTACGTACTACGAGGTTACAAAAATATTATGATTCTCAGTAAACTATTACCAATCGTTTACTATTAAATAATAGGACAGCATTATTTCACTAGCTCGTTCTAACAGTTCAGAAAACGTTACAAAAATAATAGGGTATTCTCAGGTAATAGGTGAATCTTCAGTAATAGTGTTATTTTTTACGTTATATAACGCCCGCCACTACCTCTCCCAGCATGAGCTGCATGTGTGTTATGTCGCCAGGTTGGAGACAAGCTGTTGTCCGTCAACAACCACTCCCTGGTAGGAGCTGACCACTACAAGGCTGTAGAGGCGCTGCGCTCGGCCGGACACGCACTCACTCTGGTCATATCTCGTCAAGTCACTCGTCTTGTGCCCCTTCCCCATCCCAAGGTTGTCTTTTACTTTATCTAGTGCCGTAGTTGGGTCGCAGCCTTGTGTTTTGCTTACTGAATCGCTTCGTACTAATCTCAATCTATTATTGATTCATAAATACTTGTAGGAGCAAATGTAATCAAATCACACAAGTATTATAGCCAAATAAAAGTTATATTTGAACTCAATACTACGTTTTGCCGCTGATTAAAATCATAACGAATGGGTTTATGACGAATGAGACACTCCTTCCAGTACTGTAAAGTGAAACTTATCGCAGTCTGCGGTCGTAAACTCGTAGCCGTGTCTGCCAACAACTAAGCTTCTGGGTAGTGTGTTATTATTGCTTACCAACAAATTGCTTGTGTCCCCATCTCTTCTTCTAATTATATGTTTTCTTTTAAAATCAGTCTATGTTTTAAATTATATACAAACTGAAATCGCAATAAAGGTACCAGGGAATTTGATGAAACAATAAACATTGAAACAATCAACATAATAATAGTACTAATGTATTTATATTCCTTTGATTACTCTTGCTAACATTGCATCTGACGTTGTCTATTTAAATTGCAAGGCAGCAACGTATCCATTGTGAAATGTTGCTTGTTTCATTAGTTTTCCAGTTCAATTAGGACCAATGCAAAAGTTTTTTTTTTTCACTACGATGGTGAATTGAAAATAATTATTTAATGGCCAATGTTGTACCAAACCAAATTCTAGGCCGGAACTGTACCAACTATTTCGGTGCACCATAGATACAAATTATTTTTGTAATTGGAATAATATTTGTTGGAAACTGTTTACACGGGCCATTGTAGGTCTAAAAGTAAAGAACTTAATGTGTTTTTATGTTGGCATTAATCAAAATAGAATTGAGATTAGTACTCTTTGCACATTTTTGCTGCTAGGTGTCGCTGTTACCGTGAAGGATTTGGCAGTTTTTATCTCTCACAAGTATTTATCTTTTAATGGTTGTATCTCAATTCAATAGAATAAAGTAGTGAGACACCTTTAATTTGAAACAGAATCATCGTAAAAAAATTTTAATTTAATAAATATAAGTTTAATAATTGTTGGTTAATTAACATCGAATGTAATCTGTATTACCTTATTTTTGCACTAATTTCCAACCCTTTGTTTGGTGTTTTGTAAAATTATATCACACATTTTTGTACATAAAAGTGAGTTAATCTTTTAAAATTTAAGACGTACTAGTTTTAAGCTATCACTCATCAAAATTCATGCATGGAAAATATTACTTTTTTTTACTTTTGTGAAGCACTAGCCTACTCTCATAAAGTGGACTATGGTGGAGATACAACCATTTGTCTATTCATGAATAAGACATTGGTGTTATGTGCTATGTAGTAAGTTAAGATTGTATGTTATAATTGTCAGTGTTGGATAAAGTTGTATTTAACTTGTTTTTTTTATATTTTAAATTGTGAAAGGTTTGCATTGGTAATAATGTATTGGAGAGTATTTTGTTGTAACTTATTTTTGATCAACTCATCTTATTCGCTACACATATAAAAGTATAATTCACGTATGTTATTTTTATTAATACAATTTACATAATTTATTTTTCTGCTTGAATAAATTATACTTGTGTTAGAAAATAAAATGACAAACCTTTAAATTATTGCTCAATATTTTTATTTTATCAATAACAACTTCCTAAAATGTTTTCATCCATCATATACCTTAAATTAAAATTAAAATATGGTATAATCAAAGTTAAAGATTAAAGAAATTTTCTCAATATGATTCAGTGGGTGATAAGCATTCAGGAGGGAGCTATTCCTATTTTGTCCTCTGCAGCCAAGTGTCTTGTTTTGTATCTGTTTATAGTTCATGAAGTGACTTGTTTGCGTAAGTTTTACTTCAGAATATCGTTTCAGTAATGTACATGTGTATGTCTACAGGCGGGAACAGCAGACTCTGCATGTTCCAGTCTCAGCACGAGTAGAGCGCCGAGTGCTGCGTCTCACAACTCTATCATCACCTCCGGGTTTGAGAGCGCCTCGGGACTCAACGGGCCTGTGGACCAGAAGAGTGTAAGATTCTGTCATAATTCTTAACTTAAATATTAGTTTTATACACATTTCAAAAGTAACAGTATACTATTGATAAAAATAGTTTATATAGACAAAATACAGGTACAGTAATATCCTACATTAAAACTCCGTTTTACCTAAACCGAGGTTAACTGAAACCGTAAAAAGAATTCAAATCGATTGGAAAATGAGGTAGGCAACGGGAACAGTACCAAGGAGAATACTCGCACAATTAGCTATGTTGTTTGATGACGCTGCCGCAGCTAATAAGTTTTGGTATTTGTTTTAATTGAAGTTTTTATTTTTCAATTACCAGGCCAATCTGTATTTAAAATGGCCTTCTTGCATACAAAAATATAAAATTATATTTAGGCTTCAGGGAGAAACATAAAAAATTATACCTGCAAAGAAATAAGATGCATACAAATGTTTAAATATGTTATGTTTGTCAGTTGTTATATTGATTTATGTATTTTACAGGCTAAGGTTATCGAGCCTAAAGACTACGAAGTGATCAGACAAATGGTTCACACCACTCTCATCAGAGACCAGAACGGACTGGGCTTCAGTATAGCTGGAGGCAAGGGATGCCCTTCCTTCCGGGATAAATCTGAGGTGAGTTACTCTTCTTAGAAAGAAAAAAAAGGAGTGATTTTATTTTATCACAGTACAATAGTAATAGAAAATTTCATTGTATAGTAAATTTCCTTATAACAATACCCAGTTAAACCAAAACCCAGGTTAACTGAAACCATAATAAAAACGTAAAATTAGGCAACAGAAATATTCCATTCCGTTGTTAGTTGGCTAACCGTAACTATCAGAGCAGAAGACAACACGTATCACACACCATGATAAAAGTAAAGTCCAGAAAACAATAGTAGATTATTTTATGAAATATATTTTGTGCGTATAATTATAGATTCGTTTGTAGATAGATAGATTTAGTTGTAACTAAAATGATGTAGGAAAAGACTCTTGTTTTTTTTTTACCCAAATAGCCTTTAAATTCCAACCATTGAATATTAAAAATTGTTTTTTTGAAACAGCCCAGCCTTTTTTTTTGTTTAATTTGGGTTTTACCGTACTATTTTCTTATTTGTTAATAGTTTCATATAAAGCCTTATTTATCTTGAATTTGTAAGAACCATTTTAATCAGCATTCATGTTTTAAATTAGTCAGCATTGGTAAAAAAATTTACAAATAAAGAATACTGATACTTTCTGTTCTGTTCCTTGACATTTACAATAAACGGCTTTGCTGTGTTTCAATTTTGTGCAATGTTATATTGTTTTTGTACCATGATCATTGATAGTGTACATTTTGTAGTAATTCACGTATTGTTTCTAGGCGCTATACATATCAAGGATCACAGAAGGTGGAGTGGCTGATAGGAATGGCAAGCTTCAAGTGGGAGACAGGATAGTATCTGTGAGTATATTATGTGTGTGGTTGTGAAAAAAGGCTATTTGATTTGGTCGACGTAGCTTAGTGAGCTAGGAAGTCAATACAGTTACAATCCAGCTACCACTGCGGAATATATTAAGCCAATGTTTCCCAGGGTATAACCCTTATTGTTGTTCACATTCAAATGTTTCCTTCAATGCTTTAGTCATTCAAGAAGCTCTCCGAGTATATCAAGTCAATACCTAGTCCTTGTTGAGTAATTTAGATGCTAGAGGTCAATAGAATGATTATAACTTGTTTAACAAATAATTAACAGAATTGATTGACAAGGTCAATTAGTGACTGCATGTGAAAGTGTCTTTGTCAAATACAGGGTCTTCCATACAAACAATCTAAGTTGGCAGCCATATTGGAAAAAATGGAGGCTGAAATAGTTTTTCAACTTTAATTTGACCCAAATTTTTTAAATAAAAAATCCAATGCAGTTACAATTTAACATTTTAACACTAGTGCACTGTTAATTCTTCAATGTGGGATTGTTCACCTTCTGGACCTTGCGACGGTAGTTAGTTGAATTCCACATTTTGACCAACCATGCTTCTTTTACACTTTACTGTTCGGCATAAGTGTTGGTGGTGGTCATAATGGAATTCGTAATTCATCCTAGGTCAAAATATTTTGTGGACTTGTCATCAGATGCCACTACCTACAAATTGTGGCATGATGAGAACGTCTCGTCAAACTGTAGTAGTGTTACGAGTGTAATGAAAAAGAATGAAAAACTTATCCTGACCCTAACCTACCTCTAATGTCTGCAGATCAACGGTGTAGACATGGACGGTGCCAGACATGATCAGGCTGTGGCTATGTTGACCAGTCTGGAGCGCTACATGCGTCTAGTGTGTGAGCGAGAAGTGATTGTCCCTCGCAATGCTACCAACATGACAAACAACAAGACAGCTCCCAGTCCTGTGCTCAACAGCTTCGGAAAACCATACCCGGTGCAACACAAGGCGGAGACGACAGTTGCAAATGTTCAAAACGTGCCGAGGCCTGCGCCGCGTAAACTTACATCTACGTCGAGTGTCACTTCAGACACATCTGAGCCTCAGGTAGGTTAGGTTAGGTTTGTGTTGTAAGCTTTGTGTCGCTTACGCTGTTGCTTGTGGCTACTTGTGTCCCTACCTTTTGTGTTGTATTGTTTTGTAATTTAAGGGTGTTTGGCCTTTTTGGAAACAGTTGACTAACACATTTAAATTTTTTTAAATCTCTTAACTAGTATCCAAAAGAATTAAAAATAACAAAGGAAGCAATTCTAAAAACAGATTAAAAAGGCAGAACACCCTTATAGAAAATGTAAGTTTGATTGTGAACCTGAATTTGTGTATTACTGTAAATGTAAATTGATGCTGTACCCAAACCATTCTATTTCCTTATTTAAAAATTGACTAACAATTCCTAACTTCGTTCTAAACATTCTTAATTTGATTACTTAAAATATGTTTTGTTCCTTCAACCAACCTTCTAAGTAAATGCCACTATTCAATCAATGTGGGCGCTAATCAATGTAAATATTTGCTATAAAAACAATTGAGTCAAATTAAAAACTTAAATATATCCTGAATATTTTAATCTCTATCTTAACAAACAATATATTTAAAGTGATTGCATGTTCGTACTGACTGAATGTTTCAATTCAACTGAACATTTTTAAAAATTAACTTATATCCGTGAATAATTTTATAATAACAACTTACAATGCTAAACAACTAAACGCATGTTGAATGTTACTAAATGTATTAACATATTCTGCTCTGCATTAATTACAACAAAGATTCAAATCTGTTTGTAAATCAACTGAATGGTACCGTAACATACATAATTGTAGAACTTTCATATATTTTTAGTAATGATTAAAATATTGATGAGAATACATAACAAATGTCTCATTTTAAAGTTATTGCTATGCTTAAAATGCTAAAAGGTTTTTGGATAGTAATATCTTAACAGTTAATCGCTTCGTCCGTCGTTCTTTAATTAATTTTTAATATATCTTATAAATATTTTTTACAGATTTAAATATATACATACACTTATCTATAAAGATTCTAAAACCGCTTGTGCTTCACTACATTCTATTTATTGATGTACATACTCCATCTAATAATAAATGTAATTATGTACTTATATTTTGTGTAATTTTTAAGCATTAATAATAATTTTTGTAGGCTAGATTAAATAATTGTCAAAGACTGTTGTTAGGTAAATAAATACTAAAAAACATCTAGATTTTTTATCTGTTATGTAAAAAAAAATTGACTCTGACTCAAGTGGGCAGCTAAAAAGTCAGCAAAAATTACAGCTTTAAGTAAGTAACTTGTGGTTATTAAATTCTAGTGTTATTTACACATTAGTCTGTAATTTTTTTTATGAAATGTTATCAGCATAAACTCTACATTCACTACATGGCCCCTTTGAGAGTCACCTGTACTCCACAAAATTATTATAAAATAAGTCTGATCACAGTTTAAGTTAAATAAATAAGGTGTGTATTTTTAAAAGCCACTTGCTTTGATTTTTCTTTAAGAGACAACCAATTTTTTTGCAATAATTTTTTTGACTTTTTACTCCTGTTGAAATTCACTTTATCAATAATAAACATAATTTTAAATTAACTCTTCACATCTCTCATAAATCAAACTTTTAATTCAACTTGGAATTTCACAGCGCCCAAAACCTGTGACCAATGAGGAATTTCAAGCTATGATTCCTGCCCGATTTCTTCCGAAAAACGAGAAATCAACGGCCGAACCTACCACTTTGGTCACGTTAACGATTAAAAAACCGGATCACAACTTGCCTAACGGCATAGAATTCCCCGAGGCACCGACCACGCTCGGTAAAGTGACGGAAACCATAACAAAAAGTACTTTGACGGAAACTGTAGTGACGAGGGTTACAAACAACCAATTAGTGGCTCCCGTCATAATTGAGGTGAGTTGCAACAATGTAGAGCAGAACTTTTGAAAAACTCGCTTATCAAATAACTTGCATCGAACTTTGTGCATGAATCGTCCCTCTGTCTCGTAGTTTGTGTTAGGGCTGTGATTTGTCAGCATGGTGAAGTAAATGAGTAATTAGTTAACTAACACAACTAAACCGACAAAGTGTCCTTCGTTTTATTCATTTTATGGCTCCAATAGAAAAGCACAGTAGCGTCAGGTACATCGTATATGCTTTTCCCATGTCTTTGCATTGTGTAGTATGTTGCTTAAGTCTTAGCTTTGTTGAGTGCACATGTGACGGCAGGTATCAGAAAAAATGTTAAGGTAAGGCTTGTTTCCAATATTTAAATAGATTTATACGAGGTTTAAATAAACTGAAATTAAACTCGCCTTGTTTATTTCTCTAACTGAACCATGTATGGTGTATTTTACTGACTAGGATTCAAGGAATTTAAAAAAAAGGAGTTCAAGTCTGATGCCATCCAACAAAGATACTCATAAACGCTTTGTTACTACTTATATTAAAATTCATGCTAACTAAAAAATTGTGCTTCATCAAAAACATACTGCTTCATTGCCCTTTTAAAACTAAAAATTTCAATTTTGTTTCTGTGTGGTAGGTAGTCGTTCTTTATTATGCCTAACCAAAGACCGACATTAAACGGTAAGATTTGAAAGGAAAGGAGCATTGCTGTGTCATAGTAATATTTTTTGTGTTTTATTAAAAAAAAATATATAATTTGTCAAATATTGAAATATTGACTGTATTCTGTCAAAGGCAAAAATATTCATCAGTTTTTTTCAAGGAACAAAGACCAAAATCAAGTTTGTTAACATATATCTGTTGCGTTATTATTGAGAAGGGTTAAAATTAGTTCTGCTCTGCATCCGTAGTAGTTAAAAGTCCTTTTTACATGTATTAGAGATGTTTTTATATTTGTATTTATTAGTGATGACTAAACAAAAGTCATACTAACAAATAAAAACATTAGTATTTAGATTAGTATTGATTTTATAAAACAAGTTTAAAGCTAAGCTAACAGGTTTTTTTATTTGTTATTTGTGACTTCTTGCAAAAGTTTTTTATTTTCAATCTTTTTAAGGTGAACATTTTATTATAGTTCTCTTAATGATTTTATTTCAAACTATCAATTTTCAATACAAAAATGGCTGAGAGCTTGTGACATGTATGTAACCTGGGAGTCAGCTAAGATTCTAACTAGACATCAGGTATATATTACTCGGGGCTGATGTGCACCTCATGAGAGTCACCTATAAAGGCTACCTAGGCAGTAGATGAGGCCTACCTAAAATAAACAGTGGGGTGGAAGCTGACAGTTTGTTGATTTGCATTCACAATTGGGCGATTTGATTATATATATTCCTACTTCTTATACTTTGTTATTGACTGTTATCAGCTGTTTCTTAAATCAGGACTATTTAAAACAATACTTGCTGGATCATTTCTTTAACTGCTCCAATTTTGAACCATCCAAGCTACTTCCTTTTCCTAGGATAGAAGCGACGATCTTTTGATTACCAGGCGAGCACTAGGCACAACACTCATAGTTGCTGCCATCATTAAACAGATGTTATTTTTATTTCTTAAGCTAGTTGAGAACATGTTTTTAGAGCTGTTTTACCCTAGTCAACCACTGAGTGTTTTGTTTTTGTAGGACGTGACCCTGGTCAAGTCCGGAGGCTCGTTAGGATTCAGCATCATCGGAGGAACAGACCACTCCTGTGTACCCTTCGGAGTCAACAACTCAGGCATATTTATATCTCATGTAAGTCACTTGTACGTTACAGACTTGCAATTTGAATAGAAATCCTCAATACTTGTTGATGTGAACCATATATTAGACTAATCTCTCAGTTTCATTGTGTGATTATTCACACTATGGTTGTTTACTGTTCAGTGTTATCAGGTGGTAGGGTAGCGAGATAGTCGGCAAAATGCTCTTCGCTGGAGTCAATACCTGATGTGGAGTGGACATAAAAGTTTTTGTTGTAATAAAAATTAAAGCGTCTTTTGAAGTATTACTTTGTGGATCTTCTTTAACTATTTACTGAACTAAACATTCCATTCCCAGTTTAAGAAAGATTTTTTCCCAGTTAAAGAATGAAAATGAACGTAGTTTGGTTGAGCCACTGGCAGAGTGTGTTGATGTCAATTGCTGTCTTAAGTCAAATCCGTAAACTTTTAGTCTAAGCTCAAATCATACTACCTGTGAAATATAGCATCTTTTATCTACGCAAATCGTCAAAATGAGAGATAGTAAAATGTTGATTGTTGAATACTATGAGTGATTCAACTATGCTAAACTTCAAATTAAAAATTGGCTACAGTTGGTTCATAAAGATGGGGATTTCTACTTTAGTATCCAAAAGACAATCGTATCTCCAATGCCACTGACCACACATCATGTATATTATGTTATATTGTGATTCCTCATGATGCTACCAAGTAGTAAATCATCTTTTGGATGATGACACAAAGGATCTTTGTGTTGTTTACTCAATTAATTGATTATACAATAAACTACTGATCACAGGGAGCTAAGTGGTATTGTATTGAGTTGATAAGCCAAACACAGTTGATTCAAGACTGACCAGTGACCACATGCCTAATCTAATCACTGAGGTTATCACTGTCTTGCCCATGTAACTGTTCAATCACGTCACAGTTGACAGTTCAGGTATCCTAATGTACGAGTTGTGACACAGGTGGTGCCTGGAGGTATAGCTCACAGCTCGGGCAAGCTGAGGATGGGAGATCGTATCCTGGCTGTCAACGGCAAGGACATCTCTGGCTGCTGTCACCAGGACGCTGTCATGGCTCTGCTAGAGGCTGGGGATGAGATAACACTCAAGATACAACACGATCCGCTACCTGAGGGCTTCATGGTCAGTCTACTCTCGAATTCGTAAACTGTTAACTTAACAACTATATGCTATATTCATTTTTACGTTGCCTTAAATTACTATATTCCTTCACAGAAAGATTCCCAGTATTTTTGATTTTCTATCAGTCTATTTCACTTGTTCGTAAACAAGACAGCTGGGGCATTTTGAAACAAAACATAAGCTCTAAACCATCACTTGTTGTTTACTAACATTTTGTTTTTCAAAACAGGTTATGCAACCAAAGAAAATAAAAAAAAAACACATAATAACAATTGCAGATAGACAGAAAAAATATTGACCCGACAAGTGCTGCGATCCCTTGGAATATTGTCAAATTAGTAGCAATGTCGCAGGACGAAACACTTGTCTAGGAATGCTAGAACGCTGGAGGATATGTTCTGTCCAAGTTTGCCAGTTGATTAAGAAAATGCCCTTGGTCTGGATAATTATTTTGAATAAAGAGATAGCAGCTAGCTTACTTTAGATCAAGTCGGGGTGATACACATTGGCACAGAAAAGACCCCATTTTTTCCTCTTTGACCACTTAGCCTACACTTGACAAAGTCCCACAGGGGATGAAATGAATTTTGTTTTCTGTGGCCTTTTTGGACTTTCTCCAAAGTAAGCTAACTGCTATCTTTTTCACAGTTTTCACAAAATAATGCAATTGAAGGAAGAACATATTTCCTCTAAAAAGTAAAGTTATCACAGGTACACTTAAATTAAGGATTCAAAATGCCTGTAGCTCGGTTGATATGATTTCTATTCAACCTACTCTTTAAAGAAGTCCTATTTAGGATGAGGTATCAGTTTTGTAACTTTTATTGTTTAATCATCCCCAGGGCTCGAACCTGTAGGTTCGTTTTCAAGCCAAGATCAAGGTGTTTAAAAGATGCCTTTCTTTTCATTTAAGGACTATACAACTTTTTATTCAGCTTGATAATAAACCTTTAGTTTGAAATCGTGAAACTTAACAGAAAAACTGGATCACTTGACAGGGCTACTGATATTTGTAACAATTTATTTGTACAAACAAGATTCAGTTAAAGCCATCCCAATTTTTTGTTAGTTATTTGTATGTAACAATAATAATTTGTTCTCGCAGGAGCTGACCCTGGTAAGGGAGGATGGGGAGAAGCTGGGGATGCACATCAAGGGCGGCCTGAGAGGTCACCGTGGCAACCCTCTGGATAGGAATGACGAGGGAGTGTTCATCTCCAAGATCAACTCTGGGGGAGCTGCTAAGCGAGATAATAGACTCAAGGTCAGCAAGTTGTTTGTTTCTTTTATTTTACAATCCTTAACTGGAAGGGACGCCTTAATTTACTAAACAGATACAACCATAGATATTGTTTGAGGGAGGCGTATAAGATGTAGAGAAACCTTGCTACTTCGAACTTTTGGTCTTTTGTTACCCTTGTCCCAGTCCATCCGCCTTAGGCTTTTGGTAAATTTGAACAGATGTACAACATCTATTTTATTATTTCCTGTGATAAATTTGAAAAATCAATTATTGGGTTTTCAAGTACAAACCTTATCAGAAAAGTTTAAACTTTTTAAATTAATCCGCCCAAAACCTAATTCCTGGTAACTTTGAATTACTCACAAAAACCACTTGCTATACTGTACAATATAAACAACTCAAGAAGCATTTGCATTTTAAGACGTATTTGTGTCTTGTGATTTTTTATAAACTTTCGTTTTGTAGATGTGTGGCCTGTAAAAATTCTTCCTGAGAAATGTACAAAGAAAAGTTTAAACAAGTTTACTTTTGTTTATGGTTCTGTTAAATGAAAAATATCAAAGTTATTTTGCATAAAGTCTTAAACATGCTCATTCTTTCAAATTTTATGTTTGGTAATTTTTTTTCATAAATTTTGTCTTAAAATCTACCATTGTAATTTGTAATAGTATTCAATATGTTGTTTTAATACTTGTAGATGGTGCACACATGGGTTTATTGTTCATTTAAGTATTGAAGTTAGAAAATAACACCATGTTTATGAATTTAGATAAATATAGTAATAAATTTACATTTTTAAATTACTTTTTAGGTTGGAATGAGGTTGCTTGAAGTGAATGGAGTCTCTTTGCTTGGTGCTTCTCATCAGGAAGCAGTCAATGCATTAAGAAACTCTGGAAAAGCAATACATCTTGTTGTCTGCAAAGGTAAACCATACTATTTTGCTATTCAGTTGAACAGGGTAAAGAGTTCTTATTCTTTGAAGTAATATTGCTTTAGAAAACTTAGGTTAAAGGTACTTAATAAGTTTAATTTATTTTGAAGATGTTAGGGGGGTAAAATAAAAACCCCACCCCTCCCTCTAAGCAGGCTTGTACATAAAACTGGAAAAAAGTTAGTATAAATAAAGAAAACATGTTTTATGTGATTGTATTGTCTGTCTAGTCCTTTTAAATCTTTCTTAAGTGGATACAGTTGGCAACTCTGAACGTCACTCCAATTAAGTTTAAAACCCCAACTAATTATCAATAAATACTTTACGAAAGTTATCATAATGGAAAACGAAAACATTTTAATGGGTATTAAAGAAAAGCACGTTGACTCAGTGCAAAATCCAAATTGTAGAGGAATGGTTTCACCTTGGAATCTATAAAATTACTTTCAACATAAAATGAGTTTAGATTTTATAAAGCCGCAAAGATTACCGTTTGATTATGTTTGCTTTAGGCTACGACAAAGCTGAAGTGGACAGACTGTTGGCAGAAGGCAAGATATCCAAGGACAAGTCCGAGAGATTATCTCTGTCGCAGAGCGTTTCCAGTTTAGACCGAGATGACGACTCGTCTGACACTTTCAAACAGGTAATTTTATTTTCGATCGTCATACTCGGGAGTCCGGATTGCTTTGAATCGCCAAATTTCTGAACGAGGATGTAAGATAGAAAAGCAGGCTTTTTACCTGTATGGGAAAGGTCCAAACTTGCCCAAGAAATAATAAATTGTACACTATAGCCTACACAAAACATAAGATATTTCACTGTTACTGACAGCATTTTTAATTACGGAAGGTGTTTTTGACATGTTTTAATTTAAAGTGAAATTTTTGTGAAATATTTAAATGATTGAAGTTTAAACTAAAAGTTTACTACACTTGCTTGAAAAAAAAAACAACAACAAAACTAAGCAAGCTTCCTACTCTTATGAATTGAAATAAATTGAACACAATTATTGAATCTTAAATCAATTTCACTTCTTTCTTCTTTTAACTTCCATCCTCAATGTAAAAGTCTGTACATGTGTATTTTAAATATTGTATGTATAAATGTGTATTGGGGTTGGAATATTAGTAATTTAATTCACCATATGTGATATTTTTATTTTGTTTTATAAATTTAAGGGGAATATTTATTGGGCCTTAACGTTAACATAGTGCAGTTGTTAAAAAATCTCAAAGTAGGTCCTTGACGTACCCAACTTTGTTGGTTTTTATAAGTCATAATGTATATCTGCCATTGGTTCTATTATTTTTGATCCTGTGTGTTCAATTTTAGTGAGCTCTGGTTAAAGATCATTTATCCTGAATTAGTATTTTCTATCGTTTCAGTTATTGGAATTTGTTCTGTTATAATTTTACTATGTCTTTTGTCAATAATGTTTTTTTCATAAACAAACTTAGTTCAAAAAATAGATTAAGTGTTAGTAATTCATTAAACAAATCAATGTGTTTAATTTTTTAGTTACTTATTTCTTTTACTAATGATCCTCCATGTTCAAGGAACTGGAAATGAAAAAGGAATTGGTTGAATGGGAAGAGGAAGAAAGAGAGAGAAAAGAAAGCATGGAAATAGCTGAATATAAGGAAAAGGAGAAAACAGCTGGTGATAAGGTAAGTCAATTGGTTATTTCACGTTCAACGAAGCTAGCAGAGGTGGGTTAACAGCCTAACATTGTACAGGTTTTCTAAAATGCTTTAAATTTTTGACCGTCTCGATTATGTTCTATCAAAGAGGGTGTTTAGAATATTCCTGGTGAATGTAAAAACTACTGGATCATCAGGGTTGAAATTTTACTTGAAGGTGGATCATAAAACATACAGGCCTTCATGGCCTTTAAATCCCCATGGACTACAAATTATGTGCGTCGACAGTAGTGATGGTCGAATCCAGAAATTTCGAATCTTGAATCCGAATCCGAATCTTAAAAATCGAATCTCGAATCATTTTGATTTGTTCAAAAATCAAATCTTTTTGTGCGCGATTAAGAAAAATATTACAGTTTAGGCTACGTTCACTCAATGAAATGTCAAGTATACCAATAATACCAATCTTGCCAATTCAAATTATGTAAATAATCAAGGTGTAGAAAATTAAATAATGCCAAAGACATAATATTTAAAAATTGAAATTTAATAGCTGGGTTTACAAGCTGGGGAGACAAATTAAAATTAACAAATGAAAACTTGAACAAAACACAAAATTAACAAATAGCAAGTCCTTAATGAATTCTTTATTTAATTTGTGCAAGGGATAGTTATCTAATTAAGGAAAAATATTTAGAAATTAATAGTCAATAACAACTCAACTAAACAAACAAAAGTAGGAACAATACACAATGAAGGAACTTAAACCGTTCAAAACATCCTCTTTGGTCAAGAGTCTGTAAAAACTGGATTACTCTTCATGGCATTACACTCAAAAGTATTGTAAAGCATTAACAAATTCCTTTTAAAATGGATCAATCAAAACTAAATTAAAGTACCAGAAATATTGATGAATTTTACAATTTGAGAAAATTATCATAATCTGCGGTAATACCAGCGACCAAAGAATATAATAGACTGGCATCGCGTTTAAGTCATCGAAGTAAATAAAAGAGGGTAGTAGGATGTAAACAAACCATAAACCATTGTCTCCACTCCAGCAAGGCTCAGGCATTCTCAAGGTCAAAGACCCTCGACTCACCACCCGTTTTCTATACGATGCTCAAATTGCATACACTCTGTATGATAACGAGACAAGAAAGAAGTAGTAAAAAATTAGGGGTCTGCGTTGCACCGTTAAACGGTACAGTATTTTCCTCAGTACATTTTCGGTTCGGACTATAACAATTAATTACTTTCAATTCTCTGTGTTGGTTAGGAGCACATAAAAATGTTTATCAGATGTTTGTTTAGGATTTTCATAATTTATTACTAGGGTAATGGGCAATGGGGCAATAAAAAACCCATCAGCAGTCCCAAAACCAAAGTCGTTGAGTCAGTAGCTTAGTTCATTAAAGTTTTATCACTTTTATTCCTTTACGACTTCCATGATTTATTTAATTTAATGTTTAAAGAAAAAGTCAGAATAATAATACTGGAAAAGCAAAACAATAGAAGGTGGGAGGGGTTGGACAATGACCTCAAAACGAGCGACCACAGTGAATTGTGATGGCGGGGGGAGGGGGAGGGGAGGGTGCAACCTTGAAGCTATATTTAGACTAGAGGGCTGGCTTGGGGGGGATTCTAATTAGCAGGACAATGATATGATAACAGTTGTATTTTCGGGCGGTTTAACTTTAGATTCTCTTTTATCATGTAGAAACTTTGAATCATCAAACATATAATTTGAATTAACTACAAATATATTCAAATTAATGCCATGATTTGCATTTATAACATCACAATACAACATTGCACAATCATGATATTTAGGTCAATGGCCTAAATTTAAATTGGAATTATATTAATTCCAATTTATATTAAAGCCAATTATATTAATTCTTCTGTATGATTTTTTATTATGATTGTTTTTATTTAGGTAATTATAATGTTGTTAACAGGTGTAATATATTCAATTGTGTTTTTATTAATATTACAAGACAAAATCTGAGACTTAAATGCAATTATAAGATCTTATCTTGAGTTTTAACATTGAAAGTAGAGGTGTGCGGATATCCGAAAAATCGGGTCGGATTCGGTTCGGTTCGGATATCCGTATCCGAACCGAGCCCAAATTCGATATCCGACACTATCCGTTATGTATCCGACTTTTTCGGATAGACAATATATTTTGACGTTTTGGACAGAAAACTAAATCTCCATAACCATCATTAGTTTCCCAGGACAAAATTACAGCAATACGTTTCCAACGACCTAACAGCAAACGGCAAAGAAGCCGTATGATGCAATACCGATAACTAGTTTAGTCGTTATCGGCTGTTTTGCTTTACGATTAGATTCATCTGGAACGAACAGACATAAAGCAGAAAAGAACTACCATGGTCAAATGAAAGTCAACTTGTGCTTGTCTCGCTCCTGATACTAGGGGCACTGCGTAGTAGTTTTTTTTACAGTACTGTTTCAAAGTAGAAAAATCTAGAGCCTACTACTGTGATGTTACTTAAACAATAGATTTAATGTTTCCCAAAAAAAAGTCAGAATAGAAACAATAGAAAGGCAACACAATAGAAGGGTGGGAGGGGTTGGGCAATGACCTCGAAAGGAGCGTGGGTAGTGAGTCAAGTAGGACCGGAGGGGGAAGGGGTGGGTAAGACCTTGAAGCTATATAGACTTGCACTACTTCCCTAAACCTAAAGGACTGGCCGGCGAGTGGTATTCCAATCACAGGACAAGATACGTTGTTTTTTGGGTATTCATTGCCCGGTTTGACTTTGGATTGTCTTACTGTGTAGAAACTTTGAATAATAAAAAATAAAGTTAGAACTAACCACAATTATTTAGCATTGATTGTGTACATATTAAATTATTAAACATAGGGACCATGGATATATACAAACTTTTGTCGTGATTTTAATTTCAACATCAAAATACAATATTGCACAATCGTGATATTTTAGGTCATTGACCTTTTTTATGCATCCGGTATTGCTGTTTCAGAAGAGAAGCACGTTGATAAATTATAAATTGATATTCCCATAGTGAAAAAGAATTATTTTATAAACCTATAAAACAAAATCATAAAATCTTACATAAAGATAACAATAACAGAAATTGTAAAAAGGGTATAAAGATAACAACGTCATTATTCTTTCTCTTTGTTCTTCTATTTCTTGGGTTTCCCTTCATCACGCATTCAACAAGTTGCCATAGTTACTAATCACCCTGTCGTTATCAGCTTTTGTGACATAGCGCACAGCAAGGGGTAAAACTTGACGAAAATCGGTAAATTTATAAATATTATTTAATTACCAATGAATGTACTTTATTGGTATTTGGTACTGTATTAATAATCGGTCAAAATGGCCGATTTTTGTCAAATTTCACACCAAATTTATTGAAATTTTAAGGTGAATATTAATAAAACAATTATTACCAAATATTTTTATTCATTTCAAAGATTGATTTGTGGTATTGGGTTCCCCACTGAGTGCAGCCGAGCGGCACTAATGAGGGTCGAACCTTCTTGGGGGTGAACAATAGACGGCTTATCAGACCCGACCCTCCCCAGTGGTCTGGAGAAAGCTTGTAAACAAACTATTGCACAAGCGTGACTTGACATTGGGCTGCTTCAACTATAATTTTGTCAAATGAACTGTGATGTTTCAAAATCAAAAACAATAATTTGGGACCATACTGCTTAACAATAATGGACTGCAATTAATTGTTGAACATACAATCCATTTTTAACAAACTTAGATTATACGATTGAAATACAATTATAAAAATTATCTTGGTATTTTACTTGGGGTAATGAAGTTATGTAGGCTAGTGTAATTCTCGGTTCATCAAGGTTCTACTGAATTATGTTAGGCAGTGAATAAGTGTAGAATGCAATTTATAAATTCAGGGATACACACCTTTTACAGAGTTATAAAGCCTAATTGCCCAACATCAAATCGTCAGCTAGAGCCCAGCTTAGTGCATTAGTGATGTTTTCTAAACTTAGCAAACCCGTAAAATGCCACTTAAGGCCAATAATCCGTTCCAAAAACGTAAGGAAATACAATGTGAAAATAAACTTGAGATCGAACTCCTTGTCTTGTGAGAACCAGGAAACAACATAAAACATAACCTCAAGTAAACAAGCCCAAACGTTTGACATCAGTCCTGCTGAGCTAAGGTGTTGTGTGAAGATTTTGGTTGCTAGTGTACTTAATTCAAGCAACCAACTTTTGAGAATAAATGTTGTGAATTGTGATTTTCAAGAGAGGGAAAACTGTGGACTTGGCTAATTTGAAATTCTATAATTCAAAATCGTCATTTAAGTTTATTTACACAGCTTTACAATGTTTTATAGGTTAAAAATACATATGCAGCTTATTATTAACCGCGCCGAACTATCCGAATCCGAAAATATCCGAATCCGAACCTCCCAATATCCGATCCGAGCCTCAACTATCCGATCCGAAATGAAATTTCACTATCCGCACACCTCTAATTGGAAGGACATATAAAATCTTATATTTAAGTTCACCACAAATAGTTGGCTGTTTCAAAATATTACGCAATTGCACGGGCAGACGACTGTGTCTCGAACTGACCTTGAACAGTCGTGTCGTCGCATCGGCGGGTGTTTTGACTAACGCCGATTCTTATTCGGGTCGAAGTTGGAAGGATTCGAAAGTCGAATCTCGTTGACCGAATCTCGAATCCGAATATTTCCTAAAGATTCGATGGATTCGAGATTCGGATTCGACACATCACTAGTCAACAGTTTTGAGATAGAGCTCTGGGAAGTAAATGTGGGTTTGCAGGTTTGTAGTATTTTTGGGTAGAGTCGGACAAACAGTTGGCCCGAGGGATCGTTTCAGGTTCTCTTCGGGTAAAGACGAGCCAAGATTTCAGTCCTGCAATCTCGGAAAGCGTAAAAGAGGGGCATCGATAATTAAAAATTTTTCTGTGATTGTATGTGATGTTCACAGTTTTGCCTCGTTACTAGAAATGATGATTATGTTTCTGCGACCACGGAAGACGTTTAAGATTTTCCCATTACTACGGAAGATGTTCATGATTCACTGAGATTGCAGAAGATGTTTTAGATTTAACCGTAACCCGTAACTAAAGATGGTCAAATTTTCACGACAATACTATGGAGTTCATGTACACTATATATGTTAAACCGATTGTAAGTGTTCCAAAGCAACCTGATTTTGGTTTGATCAGACCCAACCCGAAGAAAAAACAACAATCAACTAATTAAATTTACATTGCTTAATGCTTACATTTTGTAACTTATACATTTTTTGTTCCAAACAGCTGATTGACTTAAACCTTATTATATAACACTAGGGGGTACAGTTGAGTTTTTTATAGGGATGGTCAAGTCTCGAAATTTCGGGAAATTTTCGGGAAATTTTAAATCTCGTTACACGAGACGAGATTTCTTTTTGGCCGAGATTTTTATCGAGACGAGAATAAAAAAAAAAAATAAAAAACGCCTGCAGAAAGTCAATGCAATGTGTCAAAGTGCTATATATATAATGTGCGGGTGCAATACAGGAGTGTGTTGTAGTTGCGTTTCCTTTGCGAAGGCGTTCTTATTTAATTAATTCTTTAAATGTAAATATTACTTTAATTATTTTAATAATATTACTTTAATTATTTTAATAATATTACTTTAATTATTTTAATAATATTACTTTAATTATTTTAATAATATTACTTTAATTATTTTAATAATATTACTTTAATTATTTTAATAATATTACTTTAATTATTTTAATAATATTACTTTAATTATTTTAATAATATTACTTTAATTATTTTAATAATATTACTTTAATTATTTTAATAATATTACTTTAATTATTTTAATAATATTACTTTAATTATTTTAATAATATTACTTTATGAGAAGTTTTGTTAAGTGTAAGCAGTGTGAGGAATGTTTTATTACTATAAAAAGTCAAAACAAGTAACTATTTTATAAAAATTAATATTGCTTTTATTTTATGATTTATTTTATTTTAGGATAAGTTGAACTCTATCCTAACTGATATCACTATGTTTCCTAATCGTAGGCATTTTTAATAAGTTAGGCGTGATTAATAAAAAAATGTTATGCTGATGTTTTTTAATAAAAGATTGTAAATATTCTTGCCTATTATCATTATTTTTGTATTTAAACAGTCATCTAACAATGTTACAAAATCAGGTAAAAATTTTGAACGTGCATTTCCCGTTGTGTATGAGAAGGGAAATCCCGTCTCGATCTCGTCTCGAAATTTTATGAGAAATAAAAAATCTCGTCTCGTCTCGTCTCGAACTAAAAATCCAATCTCGTCCATCCCTAGTTTTTTAATTTAATAAATTTTCTTTGTGTCACTGTTTTCAGTTGTTTCGATACCTTGATGAATGATTACCATTGTTGAATATATTTTTAATATTCTGTTGCAGGTGATGGACGTAGTCAGGGCCGCGGAGTTGTTGGCCGCTCAAGGACAACCAGAGACTCCAAAGAGTCCTGGCGGTCCGTTGTCTGCTGAAACACTCAAAACTACTACTATTGTCATGAGTGGACACACGCTCGCACCAAACCCTCCACTCTCGGTGAGTCTTTCACTCGTTAAGTTTTCCTGTTGAGACCAACGTTAAGGTTGGTTTTCCTTGCTGCCAAATCCATTTGCTGAGTACGGAGGCATTTTTCGGTACCAATTCAACACAAAGGTTTAATTAAGGGTTTTCTTAGCTGCTGAATTCAACAGGAACTATATCCCACGACAGCCGACTGCTCCAAGAGTAGCTAGTCCCACATCCCAAAGCAACATAAATGTGCTCGACTATAATACAGAAAAATACGAAAAATGCAGTTGCTAGAAAACGTTCACGACCATTTACAATCCCGCAATCGTATTTGGCAGCTAGGATAACACACCCTTACACATTGTACTGCACCTGAGTGATTCAGATGATTGAAGTTTTTTTTTGTTTTTGCTAATTAATACTCTTAAGGTTTATTAAATGCTATGAGATGAAGGAGATTAGTTATCTCCACTCAAATTTAAGTTATCTAAAATATATGGCAAAGATTTTTATCAGTATATACCGGATCAAAAATCCAAGGCAATTTCTTTTACAATGCTGCCTTTTTGTTAGCAAGAGGCTTCCATTTTAACAGAAGCTTGGAAGCTTCTAATTATTTTTTTGCGTTTTATTGTGTCCTAACATATACGAGGTAGAAATTGCTTTTTTACTATTAAATACTATACAATCAAGGGGGGAAAGGTTTGTTAATAAAATTAACTTTGAATCGTAGATCACTAATTTAGTGTCTTACCATTGTAGTGTAGTTGATATCAGACCTTTGAGTTTCTATATTGACTATGGATACTGGAAAACCTATCATGTCTGTTTTTACATGCCTTGAAGTAGAACTGCGTGACAAGTGATGTAAACCCATAACAGTCATTTTATAGCGGTTCCGGGGCTATAACTCTGAATTTTAATAATTTTTTGGATGGCTGAAGCAATATTTAGGGGAGCCAAATTAGTAGACTTTGCCGTGCAAATCAATTTCAATGCCAAACTGTAAAGTAGACTTAATTATTACACAGTAATGGAATTCTTTAATTATTTTTCCTTTTTCTTGAAGTCTGTCGTTTTCATGAAACTGCAGCAAAATAAAGCGTAGTTACTACAAATCTTTTAGTTGCTGGTTGGAATCACAGCTGCCAATTCTCTGCTGAGAAGGTAAAAAAATATAATTGCATCAAAAACAAGGGTAAGAAAATAATTTAGCCCAACATTAAAAATGTGTGTGATCAAATTTGTTTAACTTCCTTGATTTTGAATAACTATTGATTTCTGGACGGTCCTTGTATTATAGAGTATAGACTGCACAAGTACTTCTGTATCCATAGTCAAAACATAAACATTCATTTTCACTTCATAGTTAGAGCACTTTCGTTAATTTTTGAACCCAAGTTAGAATGCTATTGGTTTTCACAGTAAATTGTTTCACCATTAGACTTGATTACTTTTGTTTAAATGTACCCTCCCTTTTTTTTGTTTTTGTTGCAGCTTGTCTAAATGCTTTTTGTTTGTTTTGTTCAATATTAATATCGTTTTGCAAGCTTGTAGCACTATTATACCCCCCCCCCCCTACCAGTGTCAGTTTTGCCGTTCCATTTAACAATATTGTAAGTGTTCAATAAAAACTGTGAATATATTATGTATTTGTATATAAATAAATTTAATGTTTTGTGTTTTGTTAAGTCAGGGTGTCCACATTCTGGAAAGTCAGGGATAGTCATGGAAAGTCATGGAAAAAAATTCTGGTCATTGAAAGTCATGGAAATAGGCAAAAAGTCATGGAAAGTCATGGAAATCACCAATGATGGATGGATTTCAAGGGTCCTTTCAATGATCTAGTTGGCCGTAACCCCGACTATTGTAGCATTTTCCCGAATTTTTCACAAATATACGACAATCCAATTTATACAGTTGTCTTAGTTTATGGGTTTTGAGTTTGTATTTAGTTCATTGTTGTACCTGTTGTACGCCATTGTTATCTGTTAATACGTATTTCAATATTTTCTGTCTAGGCAGTATTATTTGTGTGTTTACGGTATATTATAATTTTCTAGTAAAGTTCGTGAGTCATGGAAATCAATGGTTAATGGTCATGGATAGTCATGGAAAGTCAGGGAAATTAATGACAAAATTTCTGTGGACACCCTGTAAGTTAACAAATAGTTTTCCATAATATTGCACGACTTTTCAGATTATTTACTGAACTACTTATTTTTGTTTATTTTTCAAATTAATTGTTGCTTATTCTTGTTTTGTTATTGAATTAACATTCGTCATTAAACTTAGACTATAAAATATGTAAATATCTGTGTACTGTGTTTATCTTATTACAATTTATTCTATTAGATCAGAAGAAAGAGGTCAGAACAGAACAATTCAAATAACTAGCTTTTCACTTATCAAATTGTGTAAGCTGGTAAAGTTCACATGGAGAAGGCAATACAATTTTAATTTTGTCATGAATACAGTAATGCAAAAATAAACCTCGTGTCATTGTATTAAGAACATTTTCCTAATTATCAATCCAATGAAATTTGTAATTGATTTTGTACTCGATAATTGATGACACTTTTAACCAAACTATTTCAACTTTTAATTGTTTTAAACATTTTTTTTTATAATCAGGATTGTTGTTGAGACAGCAGGCTTATCTGTATAGGAAAGAGTCTAGGTACAAAAAATACACTTTACACCATGCAAAATAATTTTTCCTACAGTTACCTAACAATGTACGTGTTCTCCCGCTGATTTGAGAAAGCAAAGTGGCCAATTCGCTCATCAGTGAGACAATGTTAACATTGTCAGACAAAGTAATTAGAGTGAGACAATGTTAACATTGTCTCACTCTAATTACTTTGTCTGACTCCAGATTTGCAACGTGAAGACACGAAATAGTGAGCGCGTAACATGCAGACAAGGTCGTATGCGCGCGAAATACGTTGGCAGCACTGGCTGTAAATCAGCTGGTCAGCTGTTTTACTGTTGTATCATTAAATGTCAAATTAAAAGTTCACTTCAATGTAAAAATATGTTACGTTTCTTTACCAATTTATTTGTTTTATGGTAACTGTAGGAAAAATATAATGTGCAATTCGAGTGCAAAGTGCAATTGCATCACTCGAGAAACCATTGCTCACTCGCCTACGGCTCGTGAGTAAGTATTTCTCTCGAGTGAGTCAATTGCTCACTTTGCTCACTAGTTGCACAAATAACTATAGTGTATTGTGTCTAAAAAACAAAAATATCTTTTTTTTCATTCGTTAAATATTGCTATTTACTCATCAGTTTTTGAATGCAAGCTCTTGTGTCCTATTTTGAATCATCATTTAAAATAATATTCTAATAGTTCTAATTTTATGCTCATTTCTGAAGAACATTATTGTGAAAGTGATGAAGATTTAGAGACAAATTCCAATCTAAATTACAACTGAATGTAATCTAGCTGTTCAAATAAATTGTTTCACAAAAGTTTTGGTTTCAAGAACACTTGTACATTTATGTTTGTCTTTTCACCTAATATTAGCTGCAGGTATCCCGCAACCCACTGCACTATTTGATGGCATGGATGTCGATGTTTATGATGAAATGGGACCATCGTTGTTGCATCATTTTGCATGATATAAACTGACTGCTTGAATGTATGTTATTGGTTTTCCTTTTGCTGTGTATTTACTCTGTAGTTACAACATGTTTCCCAACTCTAAAAATATTTCTTGTACTTTAATGTCTTAAGAGTTATAGTTTTGAAGTTAAAGATAAGTTTGTAAAGGTAGTTTTTGTTTTATGTTAATTACAAAAGTGGCACGAATTAAGTATTCCACTTAGTTAAGCCTATATTAATATTTAATAATACTCTTACAGTGCCAGAGATTGTGTCACATTATTAAAAATTAATAGGTTGTATTTCTTTGGAATAGTAGTTTTCATCACTAGGAGCGAAAGTGGCTCTTTTTGGTTTAAGCAATTGTGTGCCTCGCTTGGAAATACGATTAAGTACCAAAAAGACACTTTCACTCCGTGTGATAAACAACTATTTTCATCATACGGTGGAAATAACCTTCTAATCGTTACAAAATTAGACCACATAATTTGAGGTTATGCTAACACGTTATCTTCCAAAAAAACGTAACTTTAAATATTGTTATGATCCATTCATCTCTATGGTGAATAGCAGAGTTTAGATAACACACTGATACAATTTTGAGGTTAGTGAACCAAAAAATTTACCATAAGTTTTTTTCTGTTAACCCTATTTGAAGTTATCTAACAACGATAATTTTGCAGACGATTTAGAGAACTAAAAACAGCTGCTTTATGGATAGTATGATGAAAATATAATATATATATATATATCTTCTGTACTTATTAACCTTTTTATCAAGCTTTTGTCACATTTTATCACCTTTGTTGCTAACTCAGTAAGTCTAAAATTTGACTGTCACAATACAATTAAACTGTCTAGTGAAATCATGCTCTTAACTGGGTACTTAAAAGATAGTAAACAACTGGAATTGTGTAATATGGTGTTTAGCCTTAACGTTCATGTAGTTTACCTCTGAGAAAACCAGTTCTCTTAATTTACAGTCACACCTCAAATTTAAAGAGTATTTGTTAAATGAAGTTGTGCTAAAACTTAAAGAAAGAGATTTTCATCTTCATATGCAAAGTATTGCATTTTTTTCAAATAATCAATTGGCACAAGAAATAGTCTGGACTGGGTTGATCTATATGATTGAGAGTCTCCTGCAGCAGGTTACTCGCAGTACAGCAAAGTTTGTTTTCTCTTTACAGAATGACTGTTCGTCCAGGAACCGACTATAACATTGCGCTCAGTTAGCGAAGGCCGACCAATCTACTTTTGTGTGTTTCACATAAATTTCTTCTATACGCTTTATAGATATAACAGGGTTTCGTTCCGACACAATAAGCCTACATTCGATTTGTTAGCAAATTGTAAATCTGTTGTGAATATTTTAATCGTTTTCTGTTGTTAAACGGTTGAATGGTTGTTTAGGTAT